CAATGAAATACCATTAAGAAAATAAACAAATTCTAACTATATCCAATAATACATATGAAGCTCCAAACATATTCTTGAGTAAAAGCAGCCAGATACAAAGGATCTACAGTAAAAGACTCAAGGTATATAAAGTTCAACAAGAAAACTTACTTTGTCAGGAGTTCAGATAACATCTACTTTTGGATGGGGGAAGAGTGTAGTTCACAGGAAGGATAAACAAGGGTAGTTTCTGGAGTATTATAATGTTCTATGTCTTGACCTGATAGGTAGTTACATGAATATGTGTACTCTGTGATAATTTACTGAGCTGTAAACTCATGAACTGTGTACTTTTCAGCAAGTTTTATAGTTTAGTAAATATATTTTCATAACTACTTAATAAACAGAGAAGTAATAATAACAGGAATTTAAAAAGAAAAAGCAAACTGATAAAGTTATATAAACTGGGAACAGCTGTTATGAGGCAATGAAATAACTGTTATGAAGCAAGGAAAAAAGTTTCATAATATAGTAGTGCTATTGCTTCACTAAAATCCTAAGGGCACTTTAATAGGTATAAAAAAAAACATAAAAGAAAATTTAAAATATCTGAAAATGAAAAAAATAATACTAATCCAACAATTTTAATTATGATATGACCCCTCCCACTCCTACTACCATACATACACATATGAGTAACTAGTACTTTGAGAGTATTATTCCTTTCCTTTCCTTCTAGCTTTTATTTTTTTTTGCTTATCATAGTAGCCTTGTATTGCCTTTCTCTGGATTTTGTTTTTACATGACAGAAATTTCTGTCTTTAAGCCACTATGATTTGGGGACTTGCTGTTAACAGTGAAAACCAATCATAACAAAGTCATCTTGGGAGGACTTACCTGAATGTCTTAAGTGTCTGCCTGCATATTAACTCTTTAGTATTCGGTTTATAGAGGCAGACCCCAATGTGGGAGGGCCTGTGGTTGAAATAGTAACTGTGACTGACCAGATTGCTAACCCTTCCTAATTCAGAAGTTAAGCCTTACCGAGGACACTTAACCCAGCGAGATGTAAGTTTCACTGACCAACTGATCTTTTTATCAGTAACAAAGCTAACATTTTCATCATATGGTTTTTCAACTAGCAAACATATATATAACATTTAAAAAATTGTTTTAATTATAATGCATAAGGAAATCTATATTTAGAAGTACTTAAATATGCACAGAGTTGAAAAACATCTTCTCACAGCAAAAAAGCTAATATAAAATAAATCCAACAAAGATTTTTCTTTAGTACTGTGATAGGACAGAATAAATATTAAAAAAGAAAAAAAAAACCAACAAAAAACCTTTACCTTAATTTATCATAAACCAAGCATTATAAAGAAAGAAAATTTATACTATACTATATCTGATTTAGGGAACATAGGAAGACAGACGCAATCGTCATATGTTAGATTCTGTGCTATATATACATATTTTGTGATTTAATACTGAATGTCAGTAATGATTAGAATCAAATGTCAAGAATGTACAGAACAGTTAAACAGATCAACTGTTGTAAAGGGAATCAAAAACTCTGTCAAAAGATCTACAGCCAAAAAAAAGAGGCCGAGCTTATATGGTTATATTATAAGTGAGTTCTAGTTTACTCTTAAGGAACAGTTAATTCTTATGTAAATTACACTAGAGCTAAAGAAAACAGGACAGTAAAGGAACTTAACAAGTATAACTGCAAACCTGGGAAGACAGCCCCCAAATAAAAACATATAGCAATTTTTTATTTAATATAGAATGCAGAAAGCCCAAATACAATGCTACAGTTAAATGTAAATAGGGTATTTTTGAATTTATAAAATAAAAATTAAGAACAATGTTTTAAGAAAAATTATAGAAAATTTATAATACCTTTCTTGAAGATGACTTTTTGCATAGCAATGAAACTCCAGAAAAGAGAGGAAAGATAGTATAGATACCACAGTATTTTAAAAACTGCTTTATAGAAAAAGGTACCATAGACTAAATTCAAACAGAAATGGCAGATGGGGAAAAAATATATGTCATATGTCCAAAGAGAGGGTAATATATAATAAATGAGAGCACATCTATACCACAGAATACTAAATGCAGGTGGTATAGACAATGTGGTAGATATATTGGCCTAAGAATACTCACAATATGTTTCTGAGTTATAAAATATAAATAATTATAAAATAATATGAATAGTGAAAGTTAAAAAATTCTCTACGAATGTCTTTATAAACAAAATAAAAATATCAGAAAGGCTATACAAATGTTAGAAGTAGTTAGAACAGGGCAGCAGGAGAGACAGTTATTATTAGTTTTATTTGAGACACCACTATTATTACTGAATGGCTGCATTTTGTATTATGTTATTTTTGTTATTTATAGGACATGTTCTCTCAAATTTTATATTATCAGCCAGAATTTTCAAAATGCTAATCATTTACCTATACCAAAAATATACACTAATTATAAACATATTCCTATATTTTATATATTTATATATTATAGAAATATAAGTTATATATATATATTTATATATCCCTACATTTATATATATATTTGTGTATATATATATTAAATATAAACATATCCCTATATTATGTATGTATAGAAAACATACATATTCCTCAATTACAGATAGATGGAAATGTAGAGAAATAATAAACTTTAGAGATTTTCTGCTGCATCAGAATCAGCAGGTAAATTTAAAAACAAATATATGAGATACAGAAAATACACAAAGAGCAAGATGCAAAGGCCATCCTGAAAGTGACAGCGAAAGAAGATCTCAAGATACTAGTTACATATGAAGAAGAGAAGAAAACCAATGCAGACTGGAGCAGGTCATAAGGCTCCAGAACAGACTTCTACAAAAAACACAAAACAACAGCAACAACAGAAACACACAAAAACACTAACGAAGAACAGAGCAAAAAACTAGGCAAACAACAAAAAAACTGACTAATTCCAAAGAAAATGAAATCTGAGGGGGGAAAAGTACAATAATAATGTTTATGACTCAGTTCAACCCTAAGTAGCACACAAAAAGTAACAGCACAAGCTGAGAATTCCGATTTAATCCAATGACAAAAATTCTGTGTGTTGATGTAGGGATAAAAATTGTTTGTCTTAATGTGTGTATATGAGGCAGGAGAATAAAGAGAGCTTGTCAATCACATTCCATGGTCGGGAATTCAACAGGAAATAGGTAAACTAAGAATCACAAAATCACAGGCATCCTTCTTAAAGAATTAAAACCAGAAGGATTTGATGCAATAATTGAAAAGTGTTATCACTGATTGGGGGTGGGGGGGATATGGTGTGATTACCGTTGTTTATAGTATGTATTATTAGTTGGCTCTTTGAAAGTATCCATGTATTAATAAAAGTGAAGCTTCCAGTTCAATATAAAAATACCCAAACTTGACCAAAAATGACAATGGTAGTGTAAATGACAGGTAACTCTTCCACAAAGTAGATGAACACTTTAGAAGACATGTATTTAGTGATTTTTAAGAAAAGAAATGTAGGTTACCTGGGGATAAGGCTAGAATTTTTAAATATAAAAGTTGTTTCTCTTTCTTTTTATGGTAAAGTAGTTTTCAAACTCTCTCATGGGATCTTAACAGAGTGAACAACTCATTTTGGGATTAGTGTGCCATAAATTTAGTTGTTTAGCATCTAAAGTCCTGTATCCCAGGAAATCCTTCCGTCCCAGGCATACCAGGATGCTTGGTCACTCTAATTCTAACCAGTCTAACGTGTTTACTGATCTAAGTCTACTATTAACAAGGTCTTTGTTTGTACTATATACTGAAAGAAATACTAAAAAGAAATTTCTTAAAGATTGAGTTGAAAGGTGGTAGAGTATAGAAAAGGGAAATTTTTAAATAGTAAATGTCAAGAAAGGGAACATATAACTTACATGGCTTGTTGACGTGAACTACACCACAATAAAGTTTGTTTTTTGTTTTTGTGTTTGTTTTTTTGTAAATAACAAACACTAAAGGGGAGGGAGGAGTGAAAAAAAGTGATTATTTTTGGTTAACCTCAAGTTGGGCTTTGCTGATAGCTCAGTCGGTTAAGAATCCGCCTGCAATGCATGAGACCCCCAGGAAGGTCTGCTGGAGGAGGGCTCGGCTACCCACTCCAGTGTCCTTGGCCTCCCTTGTGGCTCAGCTGGTAAAGAACTTGTCTGCAGTGTGGGAGACCTGGGTTCGATCCCTGGTGTGGGAAGACCCCCCGGAGAAGGGATAGGCTACCCATTCAAGTATTCTGGCATGGAGAATTCCATGGATGGTATAGTCCATGGGGTTGCAAAGAGTTGGACACAAGTGAGCTACTTTCACTAAAGAAAGTGAAAACCAAATGGAGTGTTTTCATCTTTCAAATATATAATAACAAATAATACTGTTATCAAAACATTGTTAACATCTGGCATAAGAGAGAAGAAAGACCTAGTCACAGAATAATGCATCAGCTTGATGGTCGCATGTTTTGAAGTAACTACGATATTAAAATTAATTATGAGGACCATAATTAAGAAACATAAAATAATGAATGAATTATTTTAGAAACAACTAAATGAAGAAAGCAATTTAGTATGAAATGATAATAAAATCAAAGCCATACTAACTAATAATATTATCAGAGGAAAAAAAAAATTTACCAGAGGCAGATACTCAGTTCCTACTTTTGCTCAACAATACCCTGTATTTGCTTTAAATATATATACAATTCAAACTCCTGCTAACAAACCAGAGGTGTACTATTAGGGTAACTTGGGTAAAATGCTTTGTTTTTGTTGAAGTATCTGAATTAAAAAAATAATCAGTCTTAGATTCACGTATAAAAGAAACCCCCAGAACATCAGGTGGTCATGGCTAAGCTATGAAGAGAGAAATTACATAGGAAAACAAATTTAATTCAAGGAAATGCAACATTTTAAGAAGTTCACTTAAAAAAAATAAATAAAATGAAAATGTTCATTGTACCTTAAAGAACCCTGCTTCAGGGCCACACCTGTCATACACACTCCGGGATTTACCTATGGCCATGATAATACCTTGCATGTTCGGTGTCATCATGATCTGCCATAAGGGATTTAAAGTAAGAACTTTTGAATGGTTATCATAGAGAAAAAAAAAAAATCACAAAAACAAAATAATTCCTTTACATGCAAGTTGAAAGTCCTTTGATTTTTACTATAAATCAAACATTGCACTTTTTTTGGGTAGCAAATGTGATCTGATATGCATGTAAGTATCTCTCAAAATCTTCCATACAGGGCCACAGCTAGCTGGCATGGTGCCTTTGTGCAAAGTGCAAAAAGGCATCCCGTCTGAGCTGAAGAATTTTTTAAAAGGCACCGCCTTCTTGACAATTTAGAAAAATGTGCTGCTCTGTAAGAGAACCATTCAGAAAAATCAATGTTCTTTTTATTTAAAAACATGCTTCTTCTTTAAGGCTTGGTGAGCTCAGCATAGGCTAAATTCCAGCTCCACTCTGCCAGCAGGCCAGGTACCCCTGCTTGTACAACCACACAATCTAAACATCTAAGCAGCAGCCCTGTATCCATATAACTTATTTTTAAGAGTTACAAGGCACATGCACTGCTGAACTATCACTCCAATGAATTAAAACACACACACACACACAAAACACAAAACTCTGCCAATAGCATAAGCAGTTGCACAAATGATAAGTGTTAAATAATTAATCACAATTCTATTTTTGTAAATGCCAGAAGGCTTACCCTAAAACAAGCACTAAGATGCTTGATCAACAAATTAACATTTTAAAAAACATTTTTAATACAACATGCCAGTTTCCATAATCTTCAAGTACCACCAACATAGAAATGGTTAAATAGAAAAATGTACTGCTATTAAATATTAAATATTTAAGTATTTCTTTGTTCTCACAATAATTTATTTTGTATAATGGATTTGAGCATCTGCAGATTTTGGTATCTGCTGGGGTCAGGGAGGGTCCTGGAACCAATCCCCCTGGATACTGAGGAATGGCTGTATTCTTAAATGCTTATATTTTAAAATATCTGAAAAATGAAAATCTCAAGACACTATGAAGCTATAATATTGGAGCAATCAAGAGACTGCATCCATTACCTCTGATTCACTAGAAGTACTGCCCATAGCATATTTTGGATCACACACAGATAGTTGCAATGTATCTAACTATCTGCTTCAGAAAATCCTTCTGATCAGTTCCTAACTCACAAATCTACTTCTCAGTCTCTTTATGGCCCATGCTTTCTTACAGTGGCACAGTAACAGTAATGTCTTTATGACACCTCTGATTTTTGGTGATTAACGCATGAAAGTGAAGACACTCATACAAGAGTTTAATTATAACCTTGAAGACAGTCTGAAAAAAGTTACTTGGAAAAAAATTAATATACATTCAGTTCTCATCCATGCCAGTAGTAACTAACAAATGATAGAATTCAGGATCTGTCTTCTCTGTTGTTACTATTCAGAAACAGCTTTACTGGCTTCTCTCAAATACGGAAAATATCAAAATTGAAGAGTGTTAAGAAAAAAGTGGTAAAGGGGGGGAAAAATCTGATGGGATCAAGACAACAGCAATTTTCACCTGGATTCCCAAGAACCATATGAAGCAAAAGTGACTCCATAATGTTAGAAAACTAAGTAGATGAAAATTAACAGTGGAGTGATAAGAAGAGATAAGATGAGGTGCCCAGTGTACAAAATACTGATAGGTATTTAGCAATGCTGATGAATTATTCAGTTCAGTCACACAGAGGTTGGGAAAAAACAAAACCAAACCAATCCCAGTCTGCCATATTGCAGGCAGTCTCCTGCACTGCCAGCGAATTCTTGCCCAACTGACCCTCCAGGGAAGCCTATCTATTTACTAATATACACCACATCAGACTGCAGGATCTCCTGGTAGGAAATAGTGGGCAAAGTATAATTGATACTTCAAGCAAAACAGGAAAGGAGAATAAAAGTTTTAAGTGCTCAAAAAATTTTTGCTATTTAATTTAACAAACTTAATTAAAACTTACCAACCTGAGAGTAAACAAATTCTGTGTGTGAACAAAGGAACTAACTCTTGCAATACAAAGCTATTCTTTTGCAAATTCATAAGCTTTCTAGTTACATTTTCACTTGAAATTCAAAGTATTTAATACTGTTAGCAATTGGTAAGGTAATTTCAGACTGTGGGTGGCAAAGCTGTATGTTATGCGGCAAGAGACACAGTGTGAGGGTGCAGGCATGCCCAAAGCACTTGCATTGAAATAGCAAAAAAACAAGTGGAAATAGTGCCAAGGGCTACAATAAAGGTACCTCATCATCATAACCCCCCTCCTTTGACTCAATCATAAATTTCCCTACATGAGGAATCTCCACCTCTACAACTTGCTGGTTAGAAGGTGGCTGGCTTGTGGTATTTTCAGGTTTCTGCAGAAAAAAATCATTAGTGTGAACATTAGAAAAGAGAACAATGGAAGCCCTCAGTTTAAGTGCATAGACTCTTGATCCTTTTAAAACACCTGTATTTGTTTAGTAGAAAATAAAACCATCTAAAGTTGAACATCAAAGCAAATGCATTAATTCAGTAACAACACAAGATCTCTAGCTTTTGCTTTGCATCTAATATTAAATTAAATTTAAAAGTGTTTTTTTTTTTCTCACAGAGCACCTTGGATTCCAAATTTGTAGAAACAATTAATACTCAAGTTGTATATCCTACTGCTGTCTTTATTGATGAAAGATTTATTTATTTTTAATTCTAATAACTCTATACAGGTTTTTTTGCTATTTTCATCAAAATAAGATATGACCTCCTCCAACCCCAGGACAATATGTAAGTTTTCCTTCTCATGATTTACCATCTATCCTTTCTAATAACTAATTATATTGCCACTTAATATCCATAATCTCTTGTGCCTAACTCAGGTGCCTAGCACCTGGTATAATATATTTACACCATGAGTTCTCAATGAATTCTTGTTTTTGGAAATGCTACTAGAAAGTGATATCAATTTTAACAACTCAGATTTGTTTTTTTGTTAAATTCTATATACTTCATTAAACCAATGGAGTGGAAGCCAGTGTAAAATCCAGAAAGTTCACTGAAAGACACTAATATGGTTCATTCAAAATACTGTTCAGATTTCACAAGGATCCTTTTTTACTGAATAGATGACTACCATATTCACTATTTATCTGCAAACAAATTTCAAGAATACTAACGGTGCTTGAAAGCAGACTGCTTAACTAATTTCAAATTGCACCTTTAAAGTTTTCCTACGCAAAAATCAACTTAGTTTTGACACCAAATAAACAGAAAATATTAATGAAAACGGAGTGGTCTTACTGCAGTTTAAAATACGGGTAAATTTTAGTATCGTGAAGATTTTCTGACTTTTTCAAAGTATATATGCAGAAAAAGTTTAATTAATAAAACAATAACAGTGGCCAAGACTGGACTATTTTTTAAAATGAAATGCTATTTTTAACCACGACATTTTCAGGAAAGGTTACTTTTGCTTTGTTTGAGTCTTTGACTTTTCAGGAGGATATAACCAGCCTGCCTGGTTGTCATGATCAGGAGAGAGTATTCAGCTAACCTGAAATCTGATACATTAATTGCCGTTCTATAAATGATAGAAATTATAAACATTATACTATGATGCTTCTTGGAATTGCTTATATTTGAATAATCTTAACTCAATATACTAACGCATAGCCTACAGAGATAAGCTTGGCCCATGACATTTAATTAAGAATTTATTGAGAGAGAGAAAAAATAATAAAAAAATAATCAAGAGAGAAAATATTGTCCTAGGTTTCCAGTCACAAGAGTGAAATATAAGCAGGTAAACTAAGAAATTTGTCTGGACTTTTGGTGAAAATTTTCTCACAAACAAACCAATTCAAACCAATAATATATTGAAAATAATAAATATAAATTTAAGGAAAGTATCAACTAGGAAATGCACTCCTTAGAATACTGATCTCTACATAGCAACGTATTTCCTTTGGAAAAAATAACTGCATTTAGGAAAAACAAATGTTTTGTAAACCTTTCCAGTTACCAGAAAAACAGTTTAAACAGCATATTATTAATTATTTGGGTGAAAGTTGAAAAGGAAGCAGCTTTCGGCACACATTCTGTAGTATTTCTCATGAAGCTTAGATACCTTAAATTACCATAAAATTTTTCATATAAAGAATTTTAAGGTTCACTGAAATAAAGTACAAGGATATTCAGGAGCTTCCCCAGTGGCTCAGGAGTGAAGAATCTGCCTGCAATGCAGGAGCCCCAGGAAACCTGGGTTCAATCCCTAGATCAGGAAGATCCCCTGGAGGAGGGTATGGCAACTCACTCCAGTGTTCTGTTTGGAGAATCCCATGGACAGGAGCCTGGTGGACCACAGCCCATAGGCTCGCAAAGAGTTGGACACAGCTGAAGAGACCGAGCACGCATGCCTAAGGATATCTTTTCCTTTTACGGTCACATCCTCTATGAACACCTTAATAAAGGCTGAACTTAAAGGAGGTTAAAAATAAATTCCTCAGTTAATAAGCTGCAAAATAATTAGATCACAAAGATTTTAATTAATTGCCTGAAATCTATTAAATACCCAATTTGTTAAAAAAAAAAAAGTGGTCCCATTAAAGGGTGATTAGAAAGTTACATATTTTCAACCCCTTTGGATTCTTCAATATGCTCACAGCTTTTAACCTAATAACTAAAGAAATAACCAAAAATATAGAAGAATTTTCATTTTTTAGCAGTCGTTTTAAAATCATGTAAAAGTAGAAATAAATATATAAGAAGGGAATGAGTAAGTAAACAAGAATTTGATCACTCAATGAATTATTATTAAGTCATTAAACATTTTTTACAAATAATCTGCAACAGGAGGAAAGTTGTTTAGTGACAGAAACATTAAAACGTAAAATTGTATATTCAGTAGTAAATCAACTACAAAAATAAATCACCAATCTGTATGTAAAAATAAGAATGAACGAAAACACACTAACTTATTAAGTGATTAACTTTGGGTAGCGGAACTATGCATGATTCTTAGAGTCTACTTTTTGTATTTTTAAATTTTCTAAAATATTTCATTTAAAATTAGAGATTCTCTTCTAAAATGCAAGCTGTCTAAACATCTGGAGAGTATCTCTCTATGGCTTCTGTGATTCTAAGCTTCTCAGGAAATTTTTCTTAACACTAATGTCAAAACTTTATATACTGTATATTTGTGAAATGGTTAGGATTTAAGTAACAGAAGGAAATAAAGAGGTACTTAAGGTCTACACTATATGCCAGGCACTTAAAAAATGATCTTAATTCATCCTATAATCACCTCCATTTTATATTTTTAAAAAACTTAGTTTAGAAAAATTAAGCAACTTATTCAAGTTTGCATAGCTTGCAGGAAATAAAACTAATATTCAAAACCCCAGGACTATTTAACCCCCAAAACTAAAGACTCTTTGCAATTTACTTTCTTTGCTGTTATTCAGTCACTAAGTCATGCCTCAGTCTTTGCTACCCCAAGGACTGCAGCATGCCCAGGCTTCCCAGTCCTTCAGCATCTCACCGAGTCCACCAAATCGGTGATGCTATCCAACCATCTCATCCTCTGCTGCCCTTAGTTTCTAAGGCATACCTTTAAATGAGAAAACCCAGTAATTTTAATGATCCTAAACAACTGACCATGAGACCAAGAAACACTGGTCATACAGTCATGATCAACATACTCTTAGACATGGTGCAGGATTTATACAGACAGTGGGACCAGCTATTGGTTTTTTTACTACAGAAGATAAACCAAATTGAAAAATATTTATGCTAGCTAATCTATTTTCTCAATGCCATTCTTTTTCAACTAAAGGTGAAGCAGTAGGCTGCTACCTTGTAAGATAATAACCACATGAATAAACTATCTAAATTTAAGAGCTAATTTCTATAAATTTAAACTGCACCTGATTAGCCAAACTAAAAAAAAAACAAAAAAATCCCACCACCATGATTCTACATTAAGCGAAGTAATGTTTCCACCTTTTTGATATCAGTTAAAAGGATGAAACTTACCAACCATAATGCAGACTCTAACAAATAAAAATCCTAACTAGCAAAAGCCCTAGCAAAAGATGTTTTTAAATCAGGCAAAAATATTTCTCCCTTGAATTTACTTCTGTGCTTTTTCTTCCTTCCTAAGGTGTCCTCTTCTATCATTCACTCAGATCTACTCAAAAAAACATTTTCCAGGAAGTGCTTTAGAATGAGCAGTTCCTCAAGTTTTTTATAGTCTCTAGGGTATTTGCAGAATTTGGAATAATAATAAAAAGCTATATTAATACTTTTTTCATGGTAAGAAGATATGTAATAAAACTTTTTCAAAAAGGAAACTAAATTAAAAAATAATTTATCAATATCACTTTGCTCAGCAAGATATAATTAAAAGACTATCCTATTAATTGAACATTTTGGTCAATATGGCCTTATAATATTAAAGGCCACACTGTTATTAGAGGGTTACTGTTGAGATTAAGCTCCATGAGCAGAGATTCTGTGTTGAAAGGTCCTCTTCTCTTCCGTTCTCTGGGTGGGCATCCTCAATCCTAGAATTAGCCACTGTGAAATCTAGACTAGAGCTGTTTGTGTGTACTAGTGAAAACTAAATACCTATAGCAACTGAATGGTTCTATAGTATGAAATCCTTGAAACATCTCTCAGAATATCATATTCACTGAAACATAATACAATACTATTATGTTCAACTTACTGTTATTAAAAGACACAGCTAAATACTTGAAAATTATACTAAAGGAGGTTAATAATGACAATTTGACACAGGGCACTTGAAATATGCATAAACTGTTTTATAATATCATATTTATCCTGCTAATATTACTCTAACCTAGACTATCTGGAATTTTGTTAAACATAGTCCATGGAGCAATGAAAATTATATCCTATATTCCCAACTATCCTAACGTAAGACTAAATACAGAAGGCAGGGTGGGAGGGAGGTTGAGGGGAAAGAAAAATAATGTTAAACTCTGTACTTCTCTTTTGAAGTTCCAAATCAAATGGCCAGTTTGGCCTATGATTATAATTTTTCATAATTCTCTAACAGGAAGATAAAAACTATTTTTTTTTTAAAAGAAGCATTTAAAAAGGTATAGCTGAGGAAATTACAACCTGGGCAGTTAGGTGACACCTGCAACCACTCATGTTCACGGCAGAGGCGTCCCTTGGCCAGGTCTCTCTCGACTCCCAGACAGGTCACTCTCCTTACACAGCTAAGAAACCTCGTGAAGGTGGATGGGTATGCTCAGAGAGCTAAAAGAAAAATTCTTACCGACTGCAAAACTGTTTCAGGACTTTTATCTTCATGCTCATGTGATGCCTTGGTAATTATTCGAATGGTTTCTTCTTTCAAGTGCTTTGAGAAATCACTTCTTGATGGCTGCTCTAGATATTCTGGTTCTCCTGCTTGTGCTTCATGAGAAAAGAATCAATTGTATATCTAATGTAAATCAGTGAGTCTAGACTAAGATGAATTTCTTATTTACTTCTCATTTGAAGTTATACATTAATTTTACTTTATTGACTCTAAAGTAATACATGCTTCAAACAACAGCACTTCCTCCTCCAGAGTTTACCAAAAGAAAAGAATCAAATCTCCAGATAAGTCAAATAATTACTGAAGAAAGCACTCATTACAGTTTATGCTAAGAAATTTATTGTAAGTTTTTTGTTGTTGTTGTTAGGACAAGTATCAAAATCTCACTTTGGGTCATCACAGAGCACTGGGTTGAGCTCCCTGTGCTATACAACAGCTTCCCACTAGCGAGCTATTTTACACATGGTAATATATGTTACTCTCTCAATCCATCTCACCGTTCCTTCCCTGCTGGTCCACTAGCCTGTGTGGGATGGGGGCTGGGGTGGGAAGGAGGGGATGTATGTACACTCATGGCTGATTCACCCTGCTGGAGGCAGAAACCAACACAGCACTGTAAAGCAATTATCCTCCAAATAAAACTGAAACCTTAACAAAAACAAATCTCACTTATGTTCTGAGTTCTAAATCCACAGATGCAACAATGTACTCTGAATGTCCACTGGGTATTTGACAGACAAGCCCAATATTTATCCTTATGCAACCTATGAGGCTTTATATAAGTGGGCCTCTGTCAGTAACTTATACTTTCATTTTAATAGCACTTTCCCATAATTATAGCTTCATTACTTTGTTTCAAGCCTATATTCCCTGCTATACTGTAAGAATCTCAAGAGCAGGGGGGTTATCTCCCTTTTGTATTCCTATTTCTTCCACACCGAGCATATAATAAGCCCACAATAATTTAATGAAACAAATGAGTTAATAAACCAATGGAAGGGTAAAAGGAATAACAATGTACTCTAAAATATCACACAATGTTACCAGGATAGGTTGAGTTCCTGCTCAATCAACTGGTGGGAAACAGGACTATTGTCATCCTTTCCAATATCTGATTAATTTAAAACCTTTCTCAAAGTGAAATATTATTAAAAGAGAAATACTATAATTTCAACATAGATGCATGAATATTCATTCATCCACTGAATTTTAATTAAGTGTCTATGTGCCAGGCAGTAGGCTAGGCACTGGGACTCAGTGTTAACAAAGTGGCCAGTCCCTGTCCCCATGAAGTTTACAGTTAACTATGGAAAAAGGTATTAACCAAAGAATTACACGTATGAACTGTGACATCATCATAATACATTGTAGGAATAAAATGGGGTAAGGGTAACTTAAGATTATGGGGTATGGGATAACTAACGTTTCAGTTGAAACATAATGAATTAAGTGGAAGAATGAAAAGCCCATGAAGTAAGCATGAATTCAATCCCAAAGACTTCTAGTGTGGTCGAACTACAGACTATAGTATAAGACGGGAGAAATGGCAAGAGATGACGTAGACAGGGATAAAATGGGGGCCTTTGAGTCATGGAAGTTTTAAGGGCAAAAGGAAATAGATAAACATTCTAAATACAATGACAACATGCTGAGTTTAAAGAAAATTATTCTGGCTACACTGTAAAGAAAATAAGGTTAGAGAATAAAGTAAAACCAGAAATCAGTAAAAGTACTAAAACAGCAACATAAGCTCTTTATCTTGCTTACAGAGCAATATTAGCAAGAAATGACTGTGCTTTTGGATAACAGAGACAGTGAGAAAAGGAGAATTGGTTAGATTCAAGATACATTTTAGACATAATGGTTTGAAGACTGACATGCAGTTGTCTTATATTTTGGATATGAGTCATTAGGATAATGGAAGTGAAATATACTCTGACAAGGAAAACTAAAGGAAGAAATGATAACAATGTTTGTGACAGGAAAAGAAGTCCAAAAGAAGTTAAATGTTGCATTTCTCGATTTCCTAAGAACTGCAATGTTCTTTCAATGTGCCTGTATTATAGAGAAAGTTAAGAAAAATCTCAGCCACTACAACTCCAGTTTAGCAGAGTGTCTGCTTCCTGAAGGTTTCATGATTAAGTGGCTTAAGTCAGCTATTTCAGGCCTTAACAGAGACAAACTTCTTGTCGCTGAAGCTTACATTACTTGTGTTTTCCCCCTCTGTCTCTTCTCATTATAACAGATAAAACATCAGTACTTGACAGTAGGATGTGAGCTTAATGCAATGTGGGTCAAGAAATTCATCTGCTAGGACACTGGGCTAAGCCAGGGAAACCTGGACAGTGCAGGTAAATAAAGCTCTTAAGAGCAGAAGCAGTTTTATCTGATCAACACAGTCAAATATACGTAGGTCCCCAGGGTTAAGGTTTCCTTCCTCATAGGGATTTGAGTCCAAAAACCTTATGCGATGCTGAATGATTCTGCCTAAACATCATACAAAACTATTTCCTCCAGAATTTTCTCTGTGCAAATATATTCCATGGAACTTGTATGAGTGGTGCTGTAATCACAGTAGGTGAACCTACAAGGATTCAAGTTCTGGGAGTTTGGAAACAAAAGTCCGAACTTCATTCCCAACATGTTTGATGAGCATGTCTCATTTTCAGTACTATGCTAGGTATTAATAATGTTGAGAAAAAATGACATAAGATTTACTCACTTCAAGGAACTCTCAACAAAATCAAATAAATGTATACTCCATTACAATATAAAGTGCTAAGTGGATTGGGATGGGGAATACATGTAAATCCATGGCTGATTCATGTCAATGTATGACAAAAACCACTACAATATTGTAAAGTAATTAGCCTCCAACTAATAAATGAAAAAAAAAAGTGCTAAGTGCTGTAACAGACTTATGCACAAGGTCCTAGAGAAGCACTGTGGACCCCCACACACACTTGGAAAGATGTTGCATGCTAAGAAAGACTTCCTAGAAGAAATGCCAACTGAGCTAAGTCTTGAAGGATTTGTAGAGAAGATTATCTTGGAGATGAAGATGATCATTCTAGGCAGAAGGAATAGCATAAGCAAAGGCACTGTAAGGACAGATAAAAGATTAAGAAATTCCTTGCTGCTGCTGCTGCTAAGTCACTTCAGTCGTGTCCGACTCTGTGCAACCCCACAGATGGCAGCCCACCAGGCTCCCCCGTCCCTGGGATTCTCCAGGCAAGAACACTGGAGTGGGTTGCCATTTCCTTCTCCATCCTTGCTATTAATGAGCCTTTAGAACGGTAAGCAAGACAAAACATAACTGGTACTGAGAATAGATCGGGACTAGAATAAGGGGGGAAAGACAATAGCTGCTACAGGGGTAATTAGGGAGATTCATAACGATTTGGGACTATTAGGGGAAAAGTGGACAAAGTTTCAAGAATAGTGAGGCTAAGAGGACATTTTTCAAATGAGGGATACTTCATGAGCAAAACCATAATGACAGGAAAAGACCCTACAAGCAAGAGTGACAGGGAACAACACGGTTTAGATGAAACATGCTTATAGAATAATGGTCTTGGAAGAATTACAAGGGATTCAGATTTAATAGAGGGTAAAATTGAAAAGAAAAGAGGTTTTAAGTTTATTTTGTCAAACCAGAAGAGTAAAAGACATGTTCACTAGAACAAACAAATAACCAGAGGAGGAAAATAAAAAGCTCCTTCCACTACCCAGAAAAAAATACTTAAAGAGCACTGCTTCAAAGAACAGCAGTCCATGTTCCTTATAGAAATGCATTTAAAGTCAAAAATTCCCCCAAAGCCGTCTATAAAAAGCCATGCTAGGCTGGCTGGCTAGAATATCAGAGAAACTTTTAAAGGCTTCGGATTCCTAGACAGCACCACAAACAGAATTCTAGTAATGTGGGAGGTAGAGGCTTAGGAGCCAAAGTTAAACCCACAATTTATCTAAGAAAAAGTCGCAATAGCACCACACAGCTTTGCTTTCTCTCCTAAGGTACAGCTATCTGGGCCAGACTTTAAAACGGCTGCACTCCCACACACTGAAGATCACCTCTAGGAAACTCATTACTGCAATTTCCAAAGGGAATGAAATCAAATCAGAAAACATTTAAGGGGCACCTATCATGTGCCATTTATTAGGCTACACTCTGGAGATTTAAATAAAAACATGACTTGGTCCCTGCTTTAAAGGAACTTGAAATACTGAGGCTACTGAAAATATCCTGAAAATACTGAGAATGTTGTCCACTCTACCAGATCTTACTTCTAGGAACCAACTGTACTTTCCTGGAATATCAACTTATTTTTGACTTGCAGACCATTTTTACTTCATTTTTTTCTACCCTTATTTTTTGGTTTCAGTTTCCTTTTTGCTTTTAAAATCGGAGTATGCTATATAGATATATTGTAAGGACTTCAAATAGTTTCTGAGTAGATATGAGTAACACAAGCAAAATAATAATTCAAGCAAAGTTTCCTCTTCCTCAGAATACGGTGTTATTCATATAGCCTAGAGCCATGATGCTTAACCAGAGGTACACTCAGAATTATCTGAACATCTTTTTAAAAATACATACTCTGGACCCCTCCTCCATCCACAGATTCTGATCCCAATAAGTCTTAGCTGGTATGTCCTCAGAAACAGTCTCCCAGGTAATCCTGATGTATACACCAGTAGTAAAGAACTGCTGGCTAAATCTCTAAGCATAAATGTTAAGGTAAATATTCTTTTGCAGATTAGAGAGGTAGCATGACACGGATTGAAGAAAACTTTCCTATCACTTATTACTTAGTTTCCTATCACTTATTACTTAGTTTCAATAAGACAATGAATCATGCTGAAGAAGTGATGCCTATGGATTTTTTTTGGTTATCTGTTAGCAAAAGAGGAACAAATACTCATTTAATTAATGCTATATAAATTAATATTCTTATTTGGAATATCATTCTGAAGAAACTGGATTTTAATAGTTCTTAGGTTATAACTGTATTGAAAAGATTTTCAGGGAGAGAAGGAAAATCACTCTGATGGATTTTAAGAATAAGATCTCCTTTTATTACTTCCACTAGTCACTCATAATCCTAATGTACACCTGAGAAATAAATACAGGTTGTCTATGATATTATGAAAGTATTATATTAAATTATTTGAAAACTGTAGGGAGAAATAGGAAAAAAAAATGGCATGAGCATTAAAGTAAAATTTCTCTGCTAATAAAAGGAGATAAGTAATTCCAATGAACAATATAATAGATTCTCTTATTCAATTGTGTATGTTAAATTGCCCTGCAATGGAAGATAGATTTCTTAATGTGATATATAAGATAAGATAGTGGTAGAACACATTTTTTAACCAATAATCTCACACACATCCCAAATTTATAGATTTACAATATTCTATTTCTATTAACTCAAAGTGCCTATTTCTAGCAATTCTATAGAGGACACACAGTTTTCCACTGAGGCAGTATTGTCATTGCCTTCTAAAAACTCAGTCCTGAAGATAACTATCTTAACAGTTACATGTGAATTGACCTTTACCATCTCTTTATTTTTTAGTTATTCTGGCTCCTTTCAGCTGCATTTCTCTCCAAGTTGGTCTTTTTCTTCCCCCCAATACTAAAAAGAGACTTGAATGCACAATGCACATGCACCTGCACAATGCCCACTACTGAATTTTTTTAAACTTACAAAACAGGATATAAAGTGTGTAACAGGAAGTACTGATCAGAATAAAAAGGATATGGAGCATATAGATGTGGCCGTTTCATACAGAGGGAATATAACAAATGTAAATGATGGGGAAAAGCTGGCAAGTCCTGTCAGATAGGAATATTAGTGGGGAATATGTCTTAGTTTGACTTAGTAAAAATAGAATGTGTTAAGTCTGTAAATTTAGATACTCTTGTGAGAAACAGAAAAGATGAAAAGCAGACTGTATACAATTTAATATTGTGATGCTACAAAATATAAGTGAACCAAGAATTGGATTGGAACTTGGCCGATGACTAGAGGACTCACCTTCATCTGAGTGCTCAGGTGCCACTAACATTTATGCCATTTATGCAGCCCTGTCCTCCCACCAATATGAACAGTCACAAGCAAATGGAGGTGTAAAAAATTAAGTGAAGAATAACAGAGTAGCTCCATCTTGGGGTAAGTTCTAGGGAGTAATTTGGAAGCAGATAAAGGATGAAATCACAGAGATGGAACTAACTCAAAAATGACAGGAACTATAACAAAGTTACTACAGTTATTTGAACTCAGAAACCTCTTGATAGCTACTGAGCTATTTTATTTTCTACTAACATGGACAAGGTTACTATAATGAAACTGCACTGTTGTAAAACTATAGAGTTTCACCTGCTCTATATACTGGCCTTTGCTGTACGTGAAGAAAGCGCAGTCCTCATCTGGTATAGCTCACCAAAGACCACAATGGTGGTACTGAGAGACACTGTGCTGCACACTGCATTTATGCATCGATATGGCAGTGTAATACCGTTTTCACAGTCTTTAAAAAATGCTGAATCAGTGCTGCTTAAAATCAAGATCAAGGACTCAACTATTCAATTTGCATGAAAATAAGTTGCAAGTCTGGAAAGATTTGTGCGTGCCTATTCAGCAGTCATCACAACATACTGTAGTCTTACAGATCTCTCATTCAAAGAATAAATCTGTCTAAAGTTCAAAGGAGAATGCTGACTTATCTAGGTAAAGGTGCATAGGAATCTGTCTGTAAAAGACAAAATTAAACAAACACTGAGAATGCTTTCTTAAAAAATAAAAACAAAACACATAACCTTACAAAAAAGGGTGATTCAAAATGATCCACTCAGAATAAATTTTAAAAAAAAAGGACAAATGAGTTTAAGGAAAAGATCTAATTTATCTCTTTTCAATTCCCTAACCACTAAACAGAAATAGTACCTTCTTTACAATACAAAATATCATCTTAAATTATATTCACAACTTAATCATAAGATGAATCTTAAAAAAACCATCGGACATTGCATTTTCAATTGTGCTAGAATGTATTTTATTTTTGTAGTTCTTAATATTTCATTGATTTCATCAGCTAATAATTATAGAATTGTGAAAATATTTATATTTTTATATACTTCTCATTTGTTTTATAGATTACACAGATTTTCTTCACTTGGAATATATTAAAAATTTAGTTGCTGCTAATCTGTCTTTTAAGAATTCTAAAAAGAATCAAATAAATACTCTATATTAACTATTTACCAGTAGTGTTATTTTGCTTAACTATGAAATTACTAGAGTGCATTCTCTTGAAAGCTTTAGTGAATTAGCAGTTGCACAGTTTTTCTAGGTATCTTGCCAAGAAAAGTCAGTCAAAGTAGGCAACATACAAAGACAGAGAATTAGCAAAATCATCTCATTCAGCTTAAAAATGGTATATATGTGTATATATAGTGTTATATAGCAAAGGGGTAAACTAAGTTGTTGCCTTTTATTTCTGAGTGATGGAATTTCAGATTTTTTTAATTGGAGTCTCCAAACTCTAGGATAAAATTTTTTGCTCTTGCTTTTTCAATAAGCATATCTTATTTTTACAATAATTATCAATAATAAATATGAAATTGATAAAATGCAATAAACATGGACTAACCTGTTGTCACAGAAGACTCAGACTCTCTCAATTTCTGAGATGCTAGAAGTTTTTCCTGTAAGGCTTTCTGAGCAAGTTGTGCATCCCATTCTTCTAGTTCTTTCTCAAATCGCTGGTTGTCTTCCTCAACAAAATCTCTTAAGTCAGGGGGTAGTGTTTCTATTCCAACAAGGGCCTGCCCAGTTTCTTTATTAAACTCCTCTGCAAATCATATTTCAAAAACTATTATAAAATTAAGGATTAAAAGAAAAATGCAAAGTTCAAAATAGAAGGTATTTCAAATTATTACCATCTAGCAAATCAATATTACGTATATATTAAAAGTAAACTCAAACAAATGCTCAGAAAAGCAAGATGCAAATATGTGATCATCCATTATAGGTAACGTTCTCAGCTTTTATTTTTATTTGTAAGAGTAAAAAAAATGAAACAAGACATAAAGCCAAAATTGTTGCTACTCAAACACTGACACAGTACTACTTTTTCTACTATAAAATACCAGATACTTGATTATTCATGAAGTAAAACTTACCACAAAATGACAAGTAACACATAACCTCAAAGCTCAAAACAGAACTAAAATTCCTTTCCATCTGAAGCAGTTAAGTATAGCAATATATTTATATACAATTTGAAATCTAATCAATATAGCAAAGTTTTTTTAAAAATCACATAAATAGAATCTAAAAAGGTTACTCAACCTCTACCACACACACGTAAATTAAATTTTAGCTTTTCAGTCATAAATCCAGCAAGTTTTGCTGAGTGGTTAAATACAAAAGGAAAGTTGATTTCTATCAGTCTCAACAAACCTTTATTATGTGCTTTCTTTTTTATATGCAAAGTCTATATTAGAATATGAAAAGTAAAAAGATTAAGACCATGTCATAGCATGACATGGTCCCTGTCTGTAAGCAGGTCAGAGTGAAGTGGGGAAGGCAAGCCAGCATATAATTCCAGCACAGTAAGTGCCCAATACAGGTATGCCATGAGAAGACAAGAAGGAATACTTTCTGGCAGGTTCAAGGAAAACCTGGCAAGGCAGATGACACCTGAGTTGAATCTTGAGATGAGCAGGAATTAGGCAAAAGAAGAAACAAGATCATCATTGCCAAAAATAAAAAACATAAGAACATATTGATAAAAATATGTGAAATGATTTGGTGTGATCCAAAGAAGTTTAAATATCAGTCAAGTATATAAAGTTTGAAATGGAGAGTGGTTATAAATGAATCTGGAGAGACAATTAGAAGCCAGATAATGGAGGCTTTACAAGTCAGGCTAAGAAGTCTGAAGATGAGTCAATGTGTGATACAGTCATGAAAGGTATTTTAGCAAGGAGAAAAAGTCCAAGTTATATTTTATAATAGTTACTATATAGTTAACTTTGAATACAAAATATATCCCAATTCTCAGCCCTGGTCACATTACTTTTCAATTCCAGTTTTCTCACTTAAAATAACCCAAAAGCATTTTCCAAATATATCCATCACCTTCTTGAGTAAACTACACTTAACTAATCACACCGGAGACCAGAATCAAATTAAAGAGCTACTTATTTAAAAATATATATTGCCCTATACATTTCATATTCTTACCTTGTATTAAGAACTGCGGTTTGTCATTTATGTACATTAAACAGTACGCACTGGCATTTCTGTAACCACCGAAAGAGTCCCTCACTAGCTCTTCCCAGGACGATTTTGTTACAGCAATATCATTGTACTTCATCCACCTGCTCTCACGGTGATCAAAAATGTATGCCCAGTAGTGTCCGGCATTAGCTTGACCTTCATGAACTAAAACAGCATGTAAACGATAAGGAACCTAAACACGAGAACAGAAGAGTTAAAGTGCAGGTAAGTGCTCTATTATAACCACCTCTCTTGAAACTCACAAATCATCTGATGCGAGGGTTCCCTCAAAGCATATGTTTTTTAACAAGAGTAAATTGGCTGGGATTAGAGTTTTGAAAAAATTAAACTATGAAATAAAAAAAGGCAGGGAAGGGGGAGGATAAGTAAACTAAGGACAGGTAAGGCAGACAGGTGTGTAAATAGGATGATTTTCAAAACTCTGGAAATATATTTGTTGATTTATTTAAGATATCTTTAGAATAAAGAATTTATATGAATATTTATACATTTAGCACATGATTTGTTTAAATTTTCATAATTATAAATTGGTGGATAAGTTCAGCAAAATGGCATATATAAAGAGCCATTATATAAATCTCAGAAGTTTAAATGTAACTGAGCCCTTTACCTTCTCACATAATCTTTGTATCCTTAAATCACCATATAATTTCTCCCATATAATTTCTTAAAAATACTGAAGCACTTTGAAAAATTTTAATAAATTTTATTATAAAAGAATAAATTGTTAGGTAATACAGAGAAAAATAATATAAAAATCTTAAAGTTCAGCAATTTTATAACACAGAGTATGAGAATTAAGCTAACATAAAGATAAAATATGTAAATAATTTAGATAATGCTTACTAGCTCAAAATTCAACTTACTTGGATCATAGATTTGTCAGAGTACATTAGCTCAATTGTGCGATGGATTCTAGATATGCTTTCCTGTAAATCTAAGGACAGAAGATGCCATTTAATGATCAAAATCAAGTATGTTTCTACTGAGACTTGTAAGGTAGGGAATAAAGGTTTTCCTACAAATATGCTAGAGGAGTAAGAAAAAGTTTCTAAAACTGTTCTTAAAAACATTACTATTCAGAATCTGTATAAAATGAATTTAGTTCTCCTTAATAAAAGATGCAGCACAAATGAGAAATTAAAAACCAAACAAATACAATTTTAACAACAAACAGAGCCAAAAAACCTGAATTTTGTTCAAATTTATAAAAGAAGGTTCCAATGAAAATTAAAGTTAACCCCCCACACATATATGTATAAAACAGGAAAACTTTACAATGAAATAAAGTAACTTCATCATATATCACACACACATATACATATATATGTAACTGAATAAAAATCCACTATAATCATCAATGGAAATAAAGTTGTGAGACACCCATTAGCTGCTATTTCTACTTCAAGTAGAAATCTATCCTACACAATTACTTACAAGGCAGGGATGTGCACCACTATATTACCCATAATTATTTTTTAAAAATCAGAGACAACCTAGATATCTGTCATACAGTATAACCACATTATTCTATGAAGCTATTAAAAAGAATCAAGCAGAAAACATCAAAGCCTACCAAAAAAAAAAAGAAGTAACTCTAGAACAGGAAAGGCCTTTTTTTTTTAGCTTGATAGAAAATCCAGGAACCATAAATGCAAAGACTCCTCCCCAAATTTAAACAAAATCTATAGCATAGAAACAAAAACAAAAAACAACATAAAGATAATCAAATGACAAACTGGAAAAATATTATTTGCCACATATGCTACAGGTAACAGGTTAACAGGGCTTCCCTGGTAGCTCAGCTGGTAAAGAATCTGCCAGCAATGAAGGAGACCCCAGTTCGATTCCTGGGTTGTCAGGAAGATCCCCTGGAGAAGGGACATGCTTCCCACTCCAGTATTCTTGGGCTTTCCTGGTGCGTCACACAGAAAAGAATCCACCTGCAATGCAGGAGACCTGGGTTCGATCCCTGGGTGGGGAAGACCCCCTGGAGGAGGGCGTGGTAACCCGAGCCGGTATTCTTGCCTGGAGAATCCCACAGACAGCGGAGCCTGGCGGGCTACAGTCCAGGGGGTCACAGAGTCGGACACAACTGAGTGACCACGCACAGCACAACAGGTTAATATTCACAACATTTAAGCTTCTATTAAGCAATAAGACAAACTGCTCAATACAAAAATTGGGCAAATACCACAAATTTATTAAAGAACAGGATTTCACTAATCATTAATGAAATTGAAATCAAGACACTGTAATACAATTTTCATTTCAACTATCAGACTATCACAAATTAAAAGGTGCCCAGGGCTAGGGAGAATACTGGGAAACAGCGTGTCTCACACAAAATTAGAGAGACTCTAAACTGGTTCATTGCTTGGAGGGGGGTGGGAATCTTTAATACCTGATCCATAGGTCCAAAACCATATGACGTGTCTCTCAACTTCCTCAATTTAAAATGACCAAAAGTGGACTCATCATATTCCTATTTCCTTCCCCAAGGTGGAGGCGACCCACCATTCTGCCCTTTTCCATAGTACATTCTATCCATTTAGTTATCGATACCACCATGAGTAACTGAGGGAATCAACCCTGATACCCCTCTGTCTCTCACCTCTAGTCAAGGACCCACATCTGTCAGCTGTCTCCAAAGAATAAACCAAATTCATTTCTTTCTTCCCTAAATGCTACTTCCCTGGTGTCAAAAGCGTCTTAGTTTTCAGCTTTCTGACTGGAATCTTACAGAAACAATGCCTAGTTCAGTAGAAAATTATCCAACAACCTAACACAGTATTCAGGAAAACCTATGTGCTTAAGTAACGTTCACTAATTCAAACATAAAAAATTCCCTTATATATGAAAACACTAAGGAAAATCTTCACAGTAACTAATGCTGTTAGTTGCTCTCCCACCTTATTTACTCTCTATTAAGTTAGGACTGCTCTTTATTTCCATATTGTCTATAAAGCATCTAGTTGGGCTTTAAAACTAGATTTAAAACCTAACAAGTGATGTTGTTTAATGTAAGTCCAACCTTTAGATATAAAAGAGTAACTCCAAGATTTTTTCCACAGATCAAGAAAAATGATGATAAAGTCTACCATAAAATATGGACATCACTTCATTTTAGCAACTCTGAAGTAGGAAGGAGATAATTTCAGAACAAAGGAGCATTCCTTCCAAGAATGGAAGGATGGCAACTTAATACCAACATGCTCATTGCTCCTCCCCTCCCAGAGCACTGTCCTTGTTTTCCTTATGCCAGTTAAAACTGGTTACATTCTGGCACTGAGTTAATAGACCATAGTTGGAACTCTGCTAGAGCAGACTGAAAATTAAAATTCAGATTCCTAATTCTTCAACCTAGAGACAATTTTTTCACTTGAACTCAGCACAGACATCAAGGGAGATACATAGTTGGTTATGTACAAAATCTGATGCTGGATGATGTTTCACCAGTGGAGTACCTGTGAATACCAGCTTGATATAAATTTAGAGCACTAAACCAGAAAATCAGACCATCTGCTAGGTCATTAATCAGCTAAGTAATCCAAGGAAAATCTTTTGGTCTCTCTAGAACTGATAATAAGATCATAAAAAAGGAAGCCAAATGAGCTCATTTTATAGAAAACACTTTGTAAGGGGGAAAAAAACACAAAAAAACCCGTTTTTAATATTTACAAATGAAACCCATAGATGACCTCCCTTCTCCATTTTAACATTAGCCAAGTCCATCTGAGGTGAGAGTGGTTCTGCTCTGAGACGCGTCTTACCTCTGGTGTCATTTTCTATTTCTGTCCTCCAGCGATGTAAACAGCTTTCGAGCACAGAGAGTTCTTCCTCTGTTATGTGCCTTGGTGCCGGATGCATGGGCAAGTCTGGAGGTATCCGAGACTGCGTGAACGGTTTGTGTATTACTGATCTTGATGAGATGGCAGCTATTGATGCGGGCGACGTGCTTGGCAGTTCTGAAGAAGGAGCTCCCTGTTGGTCTGTTGTGCTGTGTTTTTAAAGCATAGAATATTCACTATTAAACTTTCCAGACTGAAGCTCTGGACAAAGATTATGTGCTAAATAAACAATATTAAGTTGGCTTATAGTTAACAAAAGAAGAGTTTTCTTAAAAAAAGAAGTATGTGGATTAATGTAATATCCAAATGAGATTCCTACTACATGGAACTACATTATTATAAGGCTAAAACTGGGGCTTTATCTTATAAATGGCTCAATAGTATTTATTTATACAAATCATACATATACCAGATTTATAAACCTTCCCTTGCTGATACTTACCAGCTCACACTACAGAAAAAAATTCTCATTTAATAGTAGTATTCTCACAGATGAAAGAAAGGCTGATACATATACCACAACAGCCTAAAGTATAATTCTGAATGGAAAAAATAAGAATATTTTAATCCGCAGCCATAAAAAATCCATTGAAACAATGAAATAAGAAAGCCCCTAGAAGACCTACACAATCTTCTAAGTTCACTAAAATAAATCACAACATGCATTTTATAAAAACCTTCTCTAAAGGTATCAATTACAATATTACATAATACAGGAACACAGCTGTCTCTTCTATCAAGAAAACTTTTTACCTTGGTAATGTCTGTGATGGTACAGAACCACTAGATGGGGAACTAGCATCAATATCATCAACAGGAGAAGTGCAAACAGGTTTACTTGAGGCAAATTCCAGGGCATACTGCAGAACATCCACCAAGGGGAAGCGTTTGGGACCCGAGCCGTAACTTAAATATCTGTTAAACATAAAACGCATGAATACTCCCATTTGTGTAAAAAGCATATTTATTTCAATAATTGTTCTAAAACAATTTCTAAAAACACTTTAATATTTCTCAACAGTGAAATTAATTTTGCTTTCAAATGATGGTAAAACTACATATACATTCAAGAAATAAGTTAAATGTTCTCTAGAGGAACAAAACCAAAGCTGAGAAGACTGAATGTGTATATACACTGTTATAAATTTCAAATGCTTCTAATCCAACAGTAAAATGAAAAGTGACATTTTCATCTCCTCAGGCTTTTAATTTTTAGATCTGTCATCTGGTCTTAAGATGATGACTAATATTATCCCCCTCCTTTTACTTCTGATTATATTCCAATATGATTATTGATACCTTTTAAGAATTAAAACTATTGAAAAATAAGATATTTTATATTAAAAGCTTTAGATTACTCATTTTCAAGTGAACAGTAAAACAAGGGGATGCAGATTAGATCAGAGGGGATTGCACACAGGGATCTTTCAGACCACATTTTAGCCTGTAGACTTCTGTCTGAACTACAGACTACTTGACAGTCTAGATTCTAGCTTCTTTTGGAAACAATCTAAAGCTCTAGACAATAGGGAGTTGATATTCACGCATGGCACTGCCTAGTATAGACGGCAGGCACCATCTCTCCACAGGGATGTGTTCTCTGACTCCCCCTGCTCACTTGACTTGCTTCCCTTCTATAAAGATTCCATTCTTCTTTATAAAGCTCATAGGCAACTGTGTGTGTATCTTCAGTGTTAAGCAGAAAAACTCAGTTACCATTCATTAATGGAAATCTCAAAAGTAGTATTTAACCTCACACAAGCAGAAACCTCAATCATAAATTAGTTTAACTTTGTATTATCAGCACCATGAGTATTACCTCTTGACAGTGGGAATATTTAATTTTAGGTAATAACTTTTAATGCCAATTATGAATTATTTTAGTCTCTAACACAACTCAAGCCTAAACTATTCAAGCAAAATATCTATCCAGAATGATTCTCTATATGTAGGACCACAAGTCATTCAAAGCAAATTTTATATTAAAATTCTAAGTAGTCATTAAGAATATAAGTTCCTATAGTTAGTTCATAATTTCATAAAGTTTCAATACCTTTCAAGTCTTTGTTGTAATACTGTGAGGTAATCTTTTAGTCTCTTGATCTCTTCCCTCTTAATTCTTGTTATTTCTCTGTTTCTATGCATGTATCTATCAGGAAAAAGAAATACAGCAATTATCAGTATTTCCAAGCAAGAAACAGATACAATATTAAGTCTAGCCACCACCACAGAAGATTAACTCATCTAAAATTTTATAATAAAACATTAGAGAATACAAATTATAACATTATTGTGACATTATTCCCAGTAACTACCCTTTTCTAAATAAAAAGAGAACTCCATTTTCCTTGACAAATGGTATTACAAACATTATGCAAAAAGTAAAACTTTTTAAGGAAATTAAACAAAAATTTTCTCTAAGAACAATAACTCTTTACTTGGATACTAAATTGTTTCAAAACTAAGTCATGCTGTATACCAAGCCATACCTGTCCAGATATAAAACTTGAGGAAATTCTAATTTATTGTGAATTTTTTCTGGTCTTCCCAGTGCCTGATTAAATTCAAATCTTGACAATTCAAAGGTTAATACAGGCGGTAGTTCGGTAAACCAATGCTGAAAGAAAACAAGAAAAAACCTTAATGCGACCTTTTTATTTCCTCCACTACAATTTAAGGCACAGAATATTTGTTAGCAGTGGCATTTTTACATGCATCATCACAATGCTAACATCACAAATAACTGATTGGGTATGCAATTTAGTCAAAACTCAACTTCTTCCTAAAAGTTTTCCACACCTTTTGAAAATTCCAATAGTCTAACACATAGGAAAGAGAAAAATCTTCTAATGACTCTTCTTCACTGGTAATTCTTTACATTAGAATTTCTAACCCAAAGTGAAAAACACTGAATCAAAGTATGGCTTAGTATCGAAATTTTTGCGGCTTCTTCAATCTTATGTCACAGTTATTACCAGGAAAGACACATTACTTAATATAATCAACTACACCCTCAAAAACCTCTGAGGAGGTTACCTGTAGGATGTTAACATACAAAAGAAAAAAATACTTTACAGCATAAAAGATCACAATTCTCATGATAAAGCTAGAAACTGATACTTCCTTGTTTAAATGTAAAGTTCCTAGTAGAATTTTGGCAAATTTAAGAAAGAGATCTATGACCATCAAATACAGCATTTATATTAATGATAATTACATTTAACATCTTTAAAAATTACTAGTGCTTAAAGATTTGAATGCCTGCTTGCTATGAGGCGGCAGCTCCACACACTTTGGCAACTGTTCAGTTAAGCATAAAATGCAACAGAACTTCAGAATTATTTTAATAAACAGATTCAAACTTTACATAAGCCATATTTATTTAAAGAGAAAGAAAAATGAAAAAACTTGTGAATCAACAAATACAGAAGTATAAAATAATGTAACAAGTATTTTTTCAAATGTTTATTTTAAGCTGTGCAGTGTCCTTCTGTAGAAAGAAATTGCAGCATACTATATTATTTATGGTATTTTCAAGGGCCACAAAATGTTACCACATAAATGTCAATAAGCTAAGTATGCTAATTTAAACATCCAAGAGAGAAACAAAAGGAGGAAAATGCACATTTGGCAACTTGAATATGATCTTGTATGTTGCTACTTTTCACTAAACAAAATCAGTTAAAGTAAGTGATTATTCAAAACTATTTCATACTTCCCTGGCAGCCCAGTGGTTAAGACTCACGGGTCTAGGGTTCAATTCCTAGTCAGAAATCTAAGATTCCACATGCCACACAGCTTGGCTACAAAAAGAAATGCTAATGATCACTTGAATTGAGATTTCCTGAGTTGGAGTTGGTTGATCTTTTACCAAAAGCTGAAGTTATAGGAATTTGTTTTACATGGATATTATCTGAAATTGACAAGAGAAGGTTATGAAAAGTCTATTAGAAATATCCCTTAAATTTTAAAATTTCTTGAGCAAAGTTTGCCTATTTGCTTTGGCGAGGTGTTTTTTTTGTTTGTTCTTGTTTTTTTCAGTTAGTTTTAATCCACACCTAAAGTTACTATTAAGAATTAAAATATACTCTACACACACCACAAGGGAAACTGTCGACGTCTGAGGATGATGCTCTCTATTCAGCGTCATAATACTCGGGAAGCACTGCTGCCTTCCTCTTTTCTTGCAGTGGTCTATGTGGTATATTTAAAATTAAATAACTGTTACGGCATCTTACTGTTCAGCTTTAAATAACAAACATACTTTAATCCATGGAAACCTGCAATGGCCAACAGAAATGAAATGACCCAGTTTGGTGGCATGCTTTTCTGTACACCATAAACAGTCCAGGAAACAGGTTCCATATCTTATGAAAGAATGTTCATAATATGTTATGTCTCTGTGTGGATTTGTTTAATCTAATAGCAATGACAGATTTTTCCTACTACTGGAGTGCAAGGGATTTCACTTTTTCATTTAATGCTACTCAGGGCAAGAAGGGACAGCCAGACATTCCCTAAATTATTTTAAAAAAATATTATGGGTGTGTTGAGCTCTGTGATTTTTAAGTACAGCAGTATATACAAGAGAATTTTAAATAATATAAAACAACAATACATTTTTTTCCTTTCAAGGTATTTTCCCATTTAGTAACAACCTATACTTAATTCTCTGATAAGCCATGAATTTTGTGAAACACAGGTCACTAAAGGTAAAAATGATGCTTATATTCTTGATATCTCAAAACACATAGCATCATTATTACTATTCTTATTACTACATTATATAACAAACAGACAGGGGTAATGGATTTTTGAAGTTAGCAAAAAGGAACAGTATTGGCAACAAAAGTACTCCTGAATTTACTCTAAATATAAATCTGAGCTGTTAAAATATTTTCTAGAGAGAATGTAGTCATTTCTAAGAGTTAATAGCAGATTCTTCTATTAAGATGATTTAAATATCTTGCTTTTGTGAGCTTACATGTATATGGGGTGGGGGGAGAAAAAACAGACTTATTACTGCAAATTCCCCACAGAACATCAAATAAAGCTAGGATGTAACTAAGCCTTAGAGGAGAAAACTTCCAATTCCAATTCAAAACTCAATTTCAGTCATTTGATTGTCTTCACTCCTTTGCCCTATTTATCTCCTATATAATGTCTACATATATCTAATATGGCACATGTAGGTTTTATTTCTGTAATGTAGTTTTTAGCTAAAGCTCTGTAAAATTTCTCTCAGCACTCTGATTATAACTTGTACAACCCTGAAGGGAAATTTGGCAGCACTTACATTTCTAAACGAGTATGCCCTGTGACCTAAAGATTCCATTTCTAACTATCCTTCATTCCAAAGCGCGCAAGGTTATTTATAGAAAGACATTTTTTGAAATAATTCTTTATCCAAAAGTTTCACAGAAGAATTAAATCAATTTAATTTTATAAATACTAGCTATGGTGATACTATGCAGGTTCTAAAAAGAATGATGTAAAGCTATATATTGACATGGAAGGATGTTCACAATATACTGGTAAGTAAAAAACAATGCAAGTCTCAAAACAGTATGAACTAATACAAACATCCATATGTGCACATCTAAAAGGATGTACATCATAGTACTAGCAGTGAATACCTACACCAGAAGTGAGATGTTTACTCTTTGAAATTCTCATCAATAGGCAACGAAAAAATAGTTCCAGATTTCTTGGAGAGATTAACTCATCTATAAATGGCATAGCATTTAATTAAAACTTATGATTTAGAAAAAAATTTGGAAGTAATTATTCTACATATGACCATTTTTTATTTATTCAGTTGACTCTTGGTATGTCATTAAAGAAATGTAAATTCTTATAGCCCACTGAAGGTTTCACCATAGCAATTCTGTAGACAAGTTCAGTTCAGTTCAATTGCTCAGTCATGTCTGACTCTCTGCGACCCCATGAATCGTAGCATGCCAGGCCTCCCTGTCCATCACCAACTCCCGGAGTTTACTCAAACTCATGTCCACTGAGTCGGTGATGCCATCCAACCATCTCATCCTCTGTCGTCCCCTTCTCCTCCTGCCGCCAATCCCTCCCAGCATCAGGGTCTTTTCATATGAGTCAGCCCTTCGCATCAGGTGGCTAAAGTACTGGAGTTTCAGCTTCAGCATCAGTCCTTCCAATGAACACCCAGGACTCATCTCCTTTAGGATGGACTGGTTGGATCTCCTTGCTGTCCAAGGGACTCCCAAGAGTCTTCTCCAACACCACAGTTCAAAAGCATCAATTCTTCGGCGCTCAGCTTTCTTTATAGTCCAACTCCCACATCCATACATGACTACTGGAAAAACCATAGCCTTGACTAGACGGACCTTTGTTGACAAAGTAATGTCTCTGCTTTTTAATATGCTGTCTAGGTTGGTCATAACTTTCCTTCCAAGGAGTGTCTTTTAATTTGGTGGCTACAATCACCATCTGCAGTGATTTTGGAGCCCAGAAAAATAAAATCAGCCACTGTTTCCACTGTTTCCCCATCTATTTGCCATGAAGTGATGGGACCGGATGCCATGATCTTAGTTTTCTGAATGTTGAGCTTTAACCCAACTTTTTCACTCTCCTCTTTCACTTTCATCAAGAGGTTCTTTAGTTCTTCTTCACTTTCTGCCATAAGGGTGGTGTCATCTGCATATCTGAGGTTATTGATATGTCTCCCGGCAATCTTGATTTCAGCTTGTGCTTCCCCCAGCCCAACGTTTCTCATATGTACTCTGCATATAAGTTAAATAAGCAGGGTGACAATATACAGCCTTGACATACTCCTTTTCCTATTTGGAACCAGTCTGTTGTTCCATGTCCAGTTCTAACTCTTGCTTCCTGACCTGCATATAGGTTTCTCAAGAGGCAGGTCAGATGGTCTGGTGTTCCCATCTCTTTCAGAATTTTCAACAGTTTATTGTGATCCACACAGTCAAAGGCTTTGGCATAGTCAATAGAGCAGAAATAGATGTTTTTCTGGAACTCTCTTGCTTTCTCGACGATTCAGGGATGTTGGCAATTTGATCTCTGGTTCTTCTGCCTTTTCTGAAACCAGCTTGAACATCTGGAAGTTCATGGTTCATGTATTGCTGAAGCCTGACTTGGAGAATTTTAAGCATCACTTTACTAGCGTGTGAGATGAGTGCAACTGTGTGGTAGTTTGAGCATACTTTGGTATTGCCTTTCTTTGGGATTGCAATGAAAACTGACCTTTTCCTTCCTACATTAGTTGGCCACAGCTGTCTTGCAGAAACATTTTTTAAAAAATGTTTGCTATATCAAAGTAAAATCAATAATTTTTATTAAACAATAGCATAAGAGATAAAAGGTATTAACATCAGGGGTTATGCCAATTTAGAAACAAGCCTAAAATGCTATTCATTGGTGTTTATAGAGAAATAAAATAGTTTTGTTCTGAAGGACACAATGCAATGAAACTATTATTTAAGGGCATTACTAAAAACTTTTAAGATATTCTACTCTGGTCAGTGACAGTCACTTAAACTAGGCTGACTTATTGAAACTACGATGTCCAGCAAATCTAGGCAACTGAACTAGTAATCACAGGTAATCATATTAGCCATTATTGAGGAACTAGCTATTATTCAGTTCCTATTATCTTAGGAACTGAATTTAAATACTAGAGAAGATGACAAGCCACTTGTATACCTTAGGCTAGGTGGGAAAATCTAGGCAGAAAATATATATTGCAGTATAGGGCAGTCAGAGTATGAAGCCAAAGAAAACAAACTAAATCTTCTAAAAAATAAATGATGACATTCAGAGTCAATGTAAGAAAGATATTTTCAAAAGCTAGGAATATGTGAGAAATATTATTTACCTATTATCACATTTACCAATAAATCATAATATGTTTCATTTACAAGTTACTTAACATTGTAAGGAAAAGGCCATTCCTTCTCTCCCTGCAGAAATCCACTATTCTTCTATTTAATAGCAAACAGACTGCACTTTATAAAGCTTTGTTTTCCTGTTCCATCTTGGCATCCTTGGAAAGTTCTAATGTTTAAAAGATCTGTTTCCCAATCAGTAAGATAAATAAGCTTAATTTAAGTATTCTTAATTAAAGGTCTATTATCAGAGTCACCTGTGGAGCTCTGGTGCTCATGTACCATATCCCTTCCCTAGATTCTGATTTGATAGCTTTGAGGTGGAATCTAGGCATCTGCTGAGAATCACTGAAGTAGATGATCTATATGGTAGACACATAACGTAGGCACAAGCTACCATTGGCTCAGTTGGTAAAGAACTTGCCTGCAATGTAGGAGACCTGGGTTCATCCCTAGGTTGGGAAGATTCCCTGGAGGAGGGCATGGCAACCCACTCCAGTATTCTTGCCTGGGAAATCCCACGGACAGAGGAGCCGGTGGGCTACAGTCCATGGGGTTGCAAGAGTGGGCCATGACTTAGCAACTAAACGACATGTAGAAAGAAAAACTATTTCAAAAAAATATTTTCTCTCTCTCTCAAAAAAAGGCAAAAAATAATAATTATTTCCTTTTTGTTTGAATGTGTGAGGGAACACAAGGAGATGAGGATGGCATTAGAAGTTACATCTTTTTAAAAAGCACATAATTCAAATAAAAACAATTGATTCTCAAAGATATAAGAAACTAGTCCCTCTTCAGATAAACAGAGATGCAATCACTTAATAATTATTAAGTGCCTATTCAAAGATAAGAACCTTGGAAACTTTTTTAATGTTACTGAGACGTTTCACTCAGTCAACACACATCACGCACTTCTATCTGCTGGTAACAGGGTTATAAGACAGAGACCATACTGTCTAAGGCACAGATGAAGACCCCGACAGAGCTGACACACAGACAGCTAGCCGCAACTGCTTAACGGTGACTGATTTTGGAGCACATCATCTGTCCTTTCCTTTCTAATATTCTGGATGAATATATGGATAGAAGGATATACAAACTGAGCTAGAGAGATGAACTGAGAGATGAACATAGGTTACAAGACAGAGGCCAGTGAGACAGATAAATAGGTTTGTAATATCTATTTTAATTCTCTTGAGAAAGCAAGTTCTTCTATCTGCCCTTCAGGCAATTATACAGTAATTTTGCAAGAAAAGAAGTGCAGTGTTGCCTCCTTGGGCCTGACACATTCCAACATGTTTGATATAAGTAACATACGTCTATACAGAATTCCACTCTAACATCAGTGCTTTTCTTCCTTCCAGCACTAGCATGCTGTAATGGCTGGTACCTTGACTGAAAAGTCTTAAAAGACTGAACAATGTCCTAAATGAGGATTTTAACATAAAATTTTGAGAAAACACTTTAAATGAAAAGTTAACGTAGATTATAGACTGTATTGACTCTGCAGTTTTCCCCCAAATGTCTAAATTACCATAATTATATTAAAAAACATTTTCTGATTATTCTCTCAATTATTAGGTAGCTATACAGTTAGAGCCTTACTTCACAACACTGTAGAAAAGACCTATAGGAAAGGGGAATGAAGATGCTAAACTCACCTCTTGACCGGATTTTCCTGAATTTTCTGAATGTAAAGACTCAATTTCTCCTTCAATCATAGCAGCTTCTAGGCATTCATGCAGATCTTTGAATCCATTGACCTGAAGTGGGTACTGACCAAACATTTCAGTATTTTCAAATTTTTTACCTATAAGAGAGGAGAAATTCATATTCCTCAATATGGCCTTTTAGCTTCTAAAAAGTAAATAAATGTATACATTAATCATCTCCTCAACCTAAAAACTATACCTGTTTATGTTTTAGACAAATAGATGGGGAAACAGATGTTTACGTTTCAGGCATATAGATGGGGAAACAATGGAAACAGTGACAGACTTTATTTTCCTGGGCTCCAAAATCTCTGTAGATGGTGACTGAAGCCATGAAATTAAAATAGACACTTGTTCCTTGGAAGAAAAGCAATGGCAAACCTAGATAGCATATTAAAAAGCAGAGACATTACTTTGCCTACAAAGGTCTGTATAGTTAAAGCTACGGTTTTTCCAGTAGTCATGTACGGATGTGAGAGTTGGACCATAAAGAATGATGAGAACCAAAGAATTAATGCCTTCAAACTGTGGTGCTGGAAGAGTCTCCTGAAAGTCTCTCGGACTGCAAGGATATCAAACTAGTCAACCCTAAAGGAAATCAACCTTGAATATCCACTGGAAGGACTGATGCTGAAGCTGAAGCTCCAGTATTTTGGTCACTTGATGTGAAGAGCTGACTCACTGGAAAAGACCCTGATGCTGGAAAAGCCTGAAGGCAGGAGAAGAAGGGGACAATAGAGGATGAGATGGTTGGATGGCAAAACCAACCCAATGGACATGAGTTTGAGCAAACTCTGGGAGATGGCGAAAGGAAAGCCTGGCATGCTGTAGTCCATGGGCTGCAAAAAGTTGGACACGACTGAGCAACTGAACATTTCAGACAGTTGTAGTTACTATTGTTTTCCTACTAGCTTTTACATGCATGTAAGTGTGTTCACATACAGCTATGCTATAGATATTAATTACATACTCATATGTGTATATGTAATTATATTTGTGTGTGTGTATATATACATTTATTCTTTAAGAAAGTACCTTTTAAGGGCAAGATACTGTACTAACATTGAGAATACACATAGCAGCATACAAAAGTTATAGGGTCTCTGAGCTGAGGAAACTTTCAGCCTCTTGGAAAAATGCAATATGCACATTAATTGCACATACAGCTATGAATAAATATTATTACAGATGTCAGAAAAGGTGTGGTGAGATAGAGTGCTGTAAGAAGATATGGAAGGGGAGCAAATCTAGCCTTCAGGGTTGGAGGGTAAAGCAGGGAAGACTTCCACAGGAAAATGACATTTATGCTGAGACTGCAAAGGTGAATAGGAGGTGGCCAGGCCAGAATTGGAGAGCCAGAGTATTCCTGGCCAAGAACAGCACAGGCAGAAACTTTCAGGTTGCAGAGAACTTGGCACATTTAAAGAATTAAGGGAAAGGAAGTATAGCTTAGGGGAGCAACATGGACATGACAATGAAAAATTTGGTGGGAGAATCAAAGCAAAATTCTTAACCAAGTCTAGTAGCCCTTGTTAAGAATTTTTTTCCCAGTATATTCCGAATATAATGGAAAATCACTGAATAATTAAGTATAGGAATAAGAGGCTCAGATTTACATCTCTGAAAAATCCTTATGGTTTCTGTTAAGTGATAAGGATGGTATGTGACTATATAGAATCCATCTATAAATAAAAGTAGAATGGAATCAGGAGTTAATAATAGAAGTGCATAAAAACATGAAGTAACACACATTTATAAACATATACAAAAGGAAGCACCAATAGGACTTGATTGACTGGTTCATAGGCAGGATGGGGAACAGAAAAGAAAGGAAGGTTTCAAGAATGATATTCAGATTTTGAGCATGAACAACTGAATTGATTTTTATGTACTGAAAAGGGCACCAGTAAAGGAAGAGTAGAGGATTTTTTTTTTTTACTTTTGTGTTAAGGCAGCAGGGAAAATCACTGGTTTAGAATGGCCCATGATATTTTATGTTGAGAAGAGCTAGACATAAATAAGTCAGTAACTAAGACTGAGGTGAAGCTATAAACTGAATAAGTAGTAGCTTATTCATAGCAGGAAATCAAGGGAGTACATGAGATTGCCCGGGGAATTAGCAAACAAGAGGAAGAGGATCAAAGGTGGGTCCCAAGGCTCTCTTATATTTAGATACAGAAAGAAACTACAAACATAATTCCTAAAAAGTAACAACAGAGGCATGAGAAAGCCAAGATAATAGGGTGCACTAGAAGTCAGAGAAGTATTTTCAACAGAAAAGCAGGTAAAAGGAAGAGGAGGAGGAGGAGGATTGGAGTCAACAGATTTAATAGCTGGTAAGAATTCAATGAGAATTGAGAGGAATCCAACGGACTATCCAATGGACTAACACATTTAGGAAATCAATAACCTTCAAAAGCCCCCTTTTAGAAGAGGTCTGGAGCCAGAAATAAAAATGGGATAGGTCAAATAAATGGAGAGACAGCAGAGAAAAACAAGATCCTATATTTAAATAAAGGAGATTATTTCTGAATAAGATTAACTGAAAAAGAACATACGAAGGGATTTTATTTTTTTTAATTTTATAGAAATGAAATACCAGATGATGTCTAAATATTGATGAGAATGACACAGTGAAATGAAGAGGCTAAAGATACAGAAATAAAAGCAAGATAAAGGACAGAAAAAGACCTGAGAGAAAGCATGAAAAGATGAGATTCTTAGCACACACAGCCACTGACATTAGACAAAATAAATCCTTTAGTACCTGGAGTGACAAAGAAAACAATATGGTGGAGGTAGGAATGGATCCAGGTTGGGAAGCTTAAAGCTCATAAATCTGAGGAAGTCACTTTTAAGAACTATGATAAAAAAAAATTTTAAGCACAAAATTAGATCCATGGCCTTAGCAAGGATCCATGATTAGTTTTCATAAGTTTCAACATCAATCTATGAAATCCGAGGTAAGGACTTTTTCAGAAAATGAAGAGAAAATGAAATTATATTAAACATAGAAAAACTGGAAATTGCTACTGCAGAAAATGGGAGAGAAGACAGTGATGAAGACAGACAAAGATGGGTGCCAGGGAGGGTTAATGGACTGGGACTAGTGAAGCTCAGGGTCACTGCAGCTTCATGACCCACTATCATTAGCCCATGTGAGTGACTTCCTCCTAACAACACTCAGGTTCTCAGTACATGCAGAGAGAAGAAAATAATTCCATGAGGGCCAGAGACTAGCCAGAGAGGGGGTGCCAGAAGGGGAAGGGGGAAAGGAGCTTTGTCAAAGTATAAGGAGGGTCATATGGACAAGGAAGGAAAGGAAAAGGCTGAGAACAGAATGGAGAGATCACGGCCTCGGAGTTTGGTAGAGCTGCCTGAGCTTCCGCAACAGAGGACTTTAGTAAACAAACAGAACTACCCTACCTCAGAGTCACCAGTCTAAAAACATGCATTAGGAAAATACATGTAAAAATGAGGAGAAAGTGCTCCAAAATATACTGCTAACAAAGCAAATACACAGTTCACCTGGAAATGTACTGCAATCACATTTATATAGCACAGCAACATTGAAACAACATACCAAAACCAAGTACAAAGACTTCAACACTGATGGAGAAGTTTTAATCATCCCTTCTAAGAATCCAGGAAATAAAGGTAGAAGTGCTCATGACGAGTGTAATATTATCAACAGTGCACAGTCACAACCTGATTAGAGCTCCTCAACTTCTACAGACAGTGTTCTACTTCAAATAAAAATAAGGATGACAGTATGGGCATCCTAAATAGGAATACAATTCACTATATAAAATATCCCACTATTTATATAATGAATATTTAGCATTTGAGGCAAACAAAATGTACTGACAGCCCAGTACAACATTTAGCACATCTAAATTCCACATTAGTCTCTGCCTGTTTCCAAATCTCAAACTATAAAACCATATTCAAACAAAACTTCATGGCAATCCATCACTTAAGATCTTTAAGAAAAATCAAATCCCCAAATTTTATACTTTGGGTAATTTGGGTGAACTTTCAAAACTTTATCCATAGGACCATTTGGGAAAAATAGTTTTTCAAAAATGTATGCTTTGAAACTTAAGTGATTTTATTACCTGATGTATATTTTATGAATCAGTTTCCTGCCCTTGTTAAGAAAACCAAAGAGTAACTCTTTAGGCCTGGATTTTGACTAATAGGAATACTATCATTTTTAACTGATTTTTTTAAAGGTAAGAGTAAAACTCTTTCTTGAAAACTATATTCTAAAGAATTTTATAATCACCCCGTAAATGGGAACCCTGCAAAACCCTGACTATGCTAAATTGCTAAGTATAGCTTTTAACTTGCATAGACATGAAACCCTCAAAAGCAGTGACCATCATACCAAGCCCCAGTATTAAACTCTAATATTATTTTTTAAAGAGGCACCAACTGCCACCTTAACAATTCACAGTATCACAGAACCTTTCCCAAGGAAAGAACATCAGAGTATCAATTCGCATGTGATAATATACTCTGTACTTTCCTTTATATGCACTCAATTCTTTGCTTTCTTTTTTCTTTTTTTCTTTGCTTTCTATATAAATGATTAGCATTAGCAATGTTAACAGAAACTACTAGACAAAGGAAGTCAAATTAAAAACCATTCCACAAATACCGTCACTATTGTGACAAAGGACCTAGCAATTAATAATATGTCAGTTGTAATAAGGAAGCAAATATGCAACTATACCTTCAAGCACTCCCACAGCTAGGAATCTTCCATAGAACAACTCCACCATGGGGTTCTTTGGCTTGTCTTCATCCCTAAAATCACATTAAAATTATAAATGTGACTACAATTTTTAATTTTTAAAACTGTAATAGAGAAAAGATTAAAAGAACAATTAAAGATGCCAAGATAGTAACATTTATGCGGTTCTTATGTATTTGGCTCTGCTACTTAGTGTTGAGTCAAGATACTTACATTTATTCTGTTTCTTCACGTGTCAACTGAGAATATTAAACCCACAAAGCTGTTGTAAGGGTTAAAAACTGTGTGGGACCTCACTGTAAGGAGATATGAACCCAGTTTGTAGTCACAAAGTGCCTGATCATTCCATTATCATTTAGAGTATGGACTTTTAGTCATACAATACATGCTTATTTGGACTTGCTGGGAAGGAGGAAAAACCACTCTTGCACACTGGCCATTACCAGTGAAATAACAAAATACCAGTTTTGAATCACGTAGCTAAAGAGGTACGCCAATCTTTTGTAAAGTTTCATGTTGCTGGTAAAATTAGTCATCTGTGAATTTTCCAAATTCTTTAACATATAAATTTGTTTTCTTGGTTTTTTTTTTGGCTTGAAGCAAGTAGAAATGGACAATTTTTAACTTTTTCTTTAGTGTTTTTACCCTGTGATCTAAAAACACAAAGTTTATCTTGGCCTTGGTATATAAAAGTATGTTTTATCCACAACTGTACAGACTTTTTCTTCATAAATTTTGTGTTCAAATTAATAAAACTGATTTACTTCTTAAAATGAGAGAAAGATACTGTTTGTCTCTTGAATTGTTACATGCACCCCCATTTAAACCATAAAACAACTGGAGGGAAATACTTCACTTAAGCCTTGCAACAATTCTGAGGTAGTATGGTGGTCATTAGTGTTGTACAAAAAGATTTCCAGCCCTCTACTTTCAGATACATAGTAAGAAGCACTTTCCCATCTACTTTCTATTTAAATTTGAAAAAAAAAAATCTGAATTGTGATAAAATAAACACAATATAAAGTTTACCATCTTAACCATCTGTTAAGTGTTCAGTTCTGCAGTGTTAAGTACATTCATAACTGCTGTGGAACCAACCTCTAGAACTAATTTTGGCTTGAGAAACCCATTAAGCAACTCCAAGTTCTTCCCTCCCATCAGGTCCTAGTAACTGCCATTCTAACTTTCCGTTTCTCTGTGACAACTCTAAACACATCGTATAAGTGAAATACAGTTGTTGTCTTTTTGTGACTGGTGTATTTCACTCAGCATCATGTTTTCAAGGTTCATCCATGTTGTAGCAGGCGTCAGAGTTTCCTTATTTGGTAAGGATATTCCATTGTATATGTATACCACATCTGTATTTCCATTCATCCATGGATATAATCAATCACTTCCAACATTTGTCTATTGTGAAGAATGCTGCCATGAACATGAGTGTGCAGCATCTCTTTGAGACCCTGCCATAAATGCTTTTGGATTTAAATTCAGCAGTGGAATTGCTGGATCATCATGTGGTTAATTTTTGCTGTTCCGCCTTTATAAATGCAAATGACAAACAACTATAAGGTGTCTGAAGTGTACACCATAATGATTTGATGTATGTATACACTGTGAAAGGATTCCCTGTAATTCTACCATTAATTTTTTTAAGGAACTACCACAATGTTTTCCACAGCAGTTGTACCATTTTACATTTCCATCAACAGTGCCAAAAAGTTTCAATTTTTTTCACATTTCAATACTTTTTATTTTCTGGTTTTTTTGGTTTTTTTTTTTTGCTTTGCACAACAAAATGTGAGTGGAGGTAATATGTGTCATTTCTGGGCTGTAACTCTGCGAGTCAATATACTTTTCACTGATGTGGTGATCCCAGAAGGCTGGGATGAGATGAAGCCTCTGTCATCTGATATAGGGGAGAGGAAAAACACAAAGACGGTCTCTCTTGATGTAAAAGTCCATGAATCTTTAGACATGAAGATTAGTACCTCCATTTTCATGCGTCATACTCCTGCGTACTGGGTTGGTCAAAAAGTTCGTTCGGGTTTTTCCTTGCCATCTTACAGAACTTTATGGCTAACCCAACAGAAAAACAACATTCCTGGTTTCTCACCTTATTTTCACAGACATACTCCACAGAAAGAGCAACGACATACCAGGTTGATGTCTTTGACAGAAGAAACTGTGTGAGAGAGCTGTACTAACTGAATTCTTTTTCCAAGGATCTTTTCAATTCTTTGTATCTAAATTTTGGTCTTCTCTCCACTGACCTGTGGTATGCACTGACCCTCCCTAAGGAGTCAGGCTGACAAATTACCCAGAAATCCCTTACCCGGTCCTTCTTTGCAACCTCTCAGAGCTCTTACTCGTTACAGTGCATTTAAGCTTTGAATCTCAGGGACCCAGACTGTTGCTATCAACACACGTGCAAGGAACACAGTAAAGAGCAATTTAAAACACCCGAGATTTCTATAATAGAAATGATATATCCACTGCTTGCACGAAGAAAAGCTAGACTGACACCAATATCACAGGCCAAAAGAAATCATCAAAGAAAACTTGTATCAGGGACACCTCAGCCTCAGGAATCAGGTTGGTACAGAAAGAGTTCAAAGATTTAGAGCAACTGATACAGTACTCAGTGCTTCCCAATCTTTTAAACTTTAAAAAGTTTTAGCTCCATAAACAGTAAAGAAAAAACAAAACTACTGAGAAATGAGAGGTAAATACTTCAAGTAAGGCTTGTGATTTCAGACGAAACAGGAAAATTCTAGACTCATTTAAAACAGTTTTAGAAAAAGGAGAGAGAAAACTTGTTAGTTCAGTTCAGTCGCTCAGTTGTGTCCGACTCTTTGCAACCCCAGGGACTGCAGAATGCCAGGCCTCCCTGACCATCACCAACTCCCAGAGTTTCTCAAACTCATGCCCATTGAGTCGGTGATGTCATCTAACCATCTCATCCTCTGATGTCCCCTTCTCCTCCTGCCCTCAATTTTTCCCAGCATCAGGGTCTTTTCAAATGAGTCAGCTCTTCACATCAGGTGGCCAAAGGACTGGAGTTTCAGCTTCACCATCAGTCCTTTCAATGAACATTCAGGACTGATTTCTTGTAGGATGGACTGGTTGGATCTCCTTGCCTTCCAATGGACTCTCAAGAGTCTTCTCCAACATCTCAGTTCAAAACCATCAATTCTACGGTGCTCAGCTTTCTTTAGAGTCCAACTCTCACATCCCTACATGACTACTGGAAAAACCATAGCCTTGACTAGATGGACCTTTGTTGGCAAAGTAATGCCTCTGCTTTTTAATATGCTATCTAGGTTGGTCATAACTTTCCTTCCAAGAAGTGTCTTTTTATTTCATGGCTATAGTCACCACCTGCAGTGATTTTGGAGCCCCCCAGAATAAAGTCAGCCACTGTTTCCACTGTTTCTCCATCTGTTTGCCATGAAGTGATGGGACCAGATGTCATGATCTTAAGTTTTCTGAATGTTGAGCTTTAAGCCAACTTTTTCACTCTCTTCTTTCACTTTCATCAAGAGGCTCTACTTCTTCTTCACTTTCTGCCATAAGGGTGGTGTCATCTGCATATCTGAGGTTATTGATATTTCTCCCAGCAATCTTGATTCCAGCTTGGGCTTCATCCAGCCCAGCATTTCTCATGATGTACTCTGCATATAAGTTAAATAAGCACGTTGACAACATACAGCCTTGACATACTCCTTTCCCAATTTGGAACCAGTCTGTTGTTCTATGTCCAGTTCTAACTGTTACTTCCTGACCTGCATACAGATTTCTGAGGAGGCAGGTCAGGTGGTGTGGTAGTCCCATCTCCTTCAGAATTTTCCACAGTTTACTGTGATTCACACAGTCAAAGGCTTTGGCTTAGTCAGTAAAGCAGAAATAGATGTTTTTCTGGGACTCTCTTGCTTTGTGAATGATCCAGCAGATGTTGGCAATTTGATCTCTGGTAACTCCTTAGTTACTATCTCAGAAAAGTTGACACTCGAACCCAAAAGAATTTTTTAGAAGTAAAATGAGTAAAATAAGGAAAGATCTCCGAAACCAGAAAAGAATGATCCTTTCAGAAATAACCAGGATTCAGGCAACGGCCAAGTGGCAGTCTAGAGAGAGACCGCAATCAGGGAGCTGTCTTGAACAGAGGCTTCTACATGAGGTGATTACAGGAAGGCTGGACAGATTTCAGAGGAGAACTGGGGACTTCAGGGTAAAGTACCCAAAGAATTACTGAGAGAACTCCAAAGAGACTCAGCTTCCATAGACCGGGATACAGATAGCAGTCACACTCTGGGGAAACATGCTCAATAAATTCTGGGGGTTGGAACTCTAAGGAAAAGTACAAGGAACATGAATTTTACTAAAGAGGAGGCAGGGTGGACAATTGTAGATCAAGTTTACACACAGGCTGTTTGTTGGTCTGACAGGACAGAACTCTGGTAGGATTCTGCAACACAAAAGAGGTGAAGGTGGGCAATGCCCATGTGAATATTAAACTACTTGGGCATACTCCTAACTCATATTTCACTCACTCTCACTATGACAGACCTATTAAGATAGCATAGAGGGATAGGGCTGAAAACAAAGTCAAGCAACAAGAAAAAGAAGACATTTGGCCATCAAACAGAACTGGTCCCGTACAAAGTAGGGGTTAAGAGGCAGGTTAAACTACTAAGAATTCAGTCAAGACCTCCTTAAAAAGAATTGGGGGAAAAATGTAACTGCACCTTAAAGAACTATCCCATCCAGGGGGAAAAAAAAAGGAGCAGAAAGAAATATACTAAAGGCCTAGAACATTGAGAAGTTGAGAAAACACCTTATCATAGAGATGACGATCTTTACTGGAGCTGGAACTCAGGTTTCAGAAAGCATCAGCAGCAGATTCAGTTCAGCATCGGGATGGGGAGATTTACCAAATGAAACTAACATAAACAAAGAAACTACCTAGAAAGCAGGTTTCACAAATCTAACCAATTTCACACCAAAATGCTATGGGAGCAACCGTTGTGGCGTGAAAATATGTTATTAGAAAGATAGCTTATAGTCAATGCAGCACTGAGGGCCAGCAAAGTGACATTTATAAGAAAACTGCAACTTAAAAATTTTGGTGAACAGAAAAGAAGAGCACCAGACCACAGCTGTTAGCATCATAAACTTCTAAACACTCCCAAAAGGGAGCAGCTTCCAATGAAACATTCTAAGTTTCCCACAACAGAACTTTTCCCTCAGATATTGTAGATTTAGTGCCATAATCTAGAGAGATCTCTTCCAACATTAAAAAAACCAATTGGCCCTTAATGATAGGCATCGTGGCAGAATTAAAACCATGATTTTCTTCATTTATGACATCATCCAAAGTTTCTGCTACAATCTTTAGCAACAGGAACTTGAGTTTGGATTGAACTAAGAGCCAGGAACACTAGAGCTGGACTGAAAGCTAAAGGGTTGAAGCTTCGCTTTTGTTTTAAACCTCAGCATTTGTCGCCACAAATTTCAAAAAGCTTATAAAGAAACCAGCTAACATTTGGGTTGCCATACACTTATCTCAGATTCCTATTTCTCTGATGACACTGAATATATGAGAAGATTAAAAAAAAAAGGTGTTATTTATCAATCTCCTAAACCCCATAAACTAAACTTCCCAGTAACTTACGTCTCTTCTTCAGCTTTCATTTGGAAGGCATCTTCTAACCAATCTAATAATTTGTGTGTAAACTCACTCACGTCTTGCTGTGGGGAGAAAAAAAAAAGGTCTTATTGATACTCGAGCCTACTAATGAAAACACTGCAACATAAAACTTACAGCTAGTCTTTTCTAATGTATAGTTAACTGACTCCTCACAAAGGTATCATATGAAATGTTTCATATCAAATGCAAGAAATATTTATAACTTAACCAGAGCATAAAATCAGTATTTGAGAAAAACAAGCATCATATTCATAATTATGTGACTGAGTTTCACTTCAGGAGGGAAAAATATATATGTGTAAATATTGATATATATAAAAAAACAAACTCATGAATGAGATTTTTAAAAAGAGTTATCACCTCCCCCAAGAGTTCTCTAATGAATCTTTATAAAACAAAGGATCCACATTACCATAGTTCTTCCTTATACAAAGATTTATTACTGGTTTCTCTCTTAGAAGGAATATGTGCTTTTAAACAACTCATTTTCTCAATTCAACTGTTACGCACCACTTTTTAAGCCATATCTAATTTTACTAAGATATCTGTTAACTTGGATAGGTTGAATTCAATCAATCACTGACTCCCTGATTACCAAGGTCTACCACCTCTGAAGTTCAAACTGAGTCTCCAATCAGAACCAGCATAATCTTCACCTTCCACAATCCCTTTCTTCGGTTCTAGCTCTCCTGACAAAGATGAACAGGAATAAAGCAGTGGCAGTTTACTCATCAACTACCATAAACTTCTTTCAACAATCTGGCCTGGAGCACAGCAAACAGGTTTGTATAGAACCTGCATGAAGAGCGGGGTCGGGTGGGAGGATAAAGCAATTCTTACTATGACTGCCCGAAGACAGATAAGTAAGTATAAGCAACTTGCTTTCATCATAAAATAGCTCTAAGTATAAAACAAACTTACTGTTACACATTTCCACAGCTAGAAGTTTTTTTGAAGAGTATCTAGGACAAGCGATTTACCTTTAAAATGTTGAAACTAAGGTCTAAGAAGCATAAATAAATTGCTCCAAAGCCATATGAAGACAACGAAACCTAACACAAAAAGCGGTTATAAACATCCATACCACCTGTAGTGGGTTAAATTGAGGCCTGTCAAAATATATGTCCACTTGGAACCTCAGAATGTGACTGTATTTGGAATAGGAGTCTTCACAGATGTAAAGGAAGTGTGGATCTTAAGATGAGACCATTCTGCATTAAGACAGGCCCTGACTCCAGTGCTGGGCACTCTTACAAGAAGTGGGGGGTAGAGGCAAGGAGCAGGCACACAGACATACAGGGGGCAAGGGCATAGCAACACAGAGAGACTGGAACCATAAGCCAAGGAACACCAGGAATCACCAGATGGGAGCGGCAAGGAAGGCCTATCTCTGAGGGCCACTGGACAGAGTACGGCTCACACGGCCAACACCTTTATTTTGAACTTCTGGCTTCTAGAACTATGGGAGAATCATCCTCTGTTGCTTTGAAATCACTCGGTTTGTGTTCATTTGTTACGGCTGTCCTAACTAATATAATGCCTTAAAACAATTTGCCATATTTTTCTATAATGTTACTTACCCTACAAGGCTATATCTGACAAGAAAGAAAAAGGTTTCCTAGTTATCCAATGCTCTTCAGGAGAAAATGCTGGCGGGGGGGCGGGGGGTAAAAATTGAAAACAACAACAAACATAGGCAAATTCTGATATGACCACCTTTTTTGTTCATTTATCTTTGCCATTTAAAACATTTTTTAAACAACACAGGGAAGGCAGTGGCAAAAATCAGACATCTTTCAGAACTCTCTGCCAAAGACCCTCTCCACACACCCAGATAACAGATATATATGCAAGGACTACAACTACTACACTGCAAATGTAGCAGAATTTTAAAAATTTCAAGTATCCTCTTTATTTTGTGCCCATTACATCGCTGTCATCTTATTCAACATTGCTGCTATTATCCTCTGCTACTTTCTCTGCTTCTCTTCTGCTTTCGTTCTTTAATTTCTCCAACTTCTCAAATTATATGTGAAAATGTTGGTATGTTTGCAGACATTTTCTACTTTTATAGGAAAATTTCCAATATTCTTTCTAAGAAATTGATTAAAAAGTAACCAAACAGCACTACATAAAGATTGGGAAATAAAAGAAACAATGACAAAGTTAATATCATTCAGAAACCTTTTCTGAGTGAGGAATTTCTGCCAGCAAAAACAGGCATATCAAAAGCATGTATACTATACTGACATTGGGTTATCACACCTTGGTGAAGATTTTTAATTACACACTTGTGAACATTTTTCATTTTACCTGTTACTTTCATTTAGTAATTTTAATTAAAATTACAGCTTGATTTATCATACACTATCAAGATTACTGTTTTTTAATTTAAAAGTAAATCTTCCAAATAATCATATTTTAAATGGCTCCAGCTTATTCTTATAAAAATAAGAATTGCTTTGATAATAGAAATGTTATTCTCATTTATCTTTTGAAAACACTGCTTAAGGAAGAAAAAATAAAATAAAATAAAAATAGTTAATAAACAAGTAAGCACAAAAAAGCTACCTGCTGGGAGTCATTTGATTTGAAAGCATCTTTAAGAATCTCAACTGCTCTTGATGGATCAACATATTTCCTTTTAGTACCAACAAGAAGTGCAAAAAGATATCGAAGCTCACGCATAAAAGGCAAATTCCGATGCTCCTATTGAAAAAAAGAAAGAAAAATTCTTAAGTGAAATTAAATTTTTTACTGGTAAAGGGATACTCATTTAAAAATTAACCAGAAATTTAACTAATATAGCTTAAGAATGAGTCCGGCATCCTATTATAAAAAAAGAAGAGTGCTGGTTTCAGCGAGGAGACAGACAGGAGTCGAGCATGGGAACAGCAGAGCACCCAGCTTAAGCCCACAACTTCAGCATAAACGCCAGATATTCACAGCAAATCATGTCATTACCCAGCCAAGAATATCCTCATTTATGTCCGCTTATTATAATCCTTCCCATTCAGCAAAGCCCAGCTGCTGCTGAGAACAGCAGTAACAAGAGCCAACATTCAGTGAGTGTTTAATCACGTACCAGGCACTATTTAAGTACTTGACCCTCAATAAACCCATTTAAGCAAAAAATCCCTCCTCCACCATGAAGTCTTCCCAGGCCCCTCCAAGTCAATGATCTCACCAAACTTCACATCAACTGAAATTAATGTTTTTCACTTAGGAATGAATCACTAACTGAAAGTGTTATGTGATAATCCTAATTATCAGACTGCTGCCGCTAAGTCGCTTCAGTCCTGTCAGACTCGGTGTGACCCCACAGACGGCAGCCCACCAGGCTCCCTGGTCCCTGGGATTCTCCAGGCAAGAACACTGGAGCGGGTTGCCATTTCCTTCTCCAAGGCATGAAAGTGAAAAGTCAAAGTGAAGTCTCTCAGTCGTGTCCGACTCTTAGCAACCCCATGGACTGCAGCCTACCAGGCTCCTCCGTCCATGGGATTTTCTAGGCAAGAGTACTGAAGTGGAGTGCCATTTTAAATAAGAATGTATCATCCTTTCAGGGTTCCTTTTGCAAGTTCGCTTTTATTTTATGATAAACTGCTAAGTTTCTCAAAGACAAGAACATCTGTATATCTTTCACAACTTTTTGCTAAGCAAAACAAGCATTCAATTCTTTCTGGTTGATTAAACCAAATACTCCAGATGGAACAAAAACAATCAAATATCATAAATAATTCATTTCAAAATAAGAAGAAAATGTTTTATAAGATTGTAATTCACCTATCTTAGTGAAACTTGATAACAAATCAGACAACTAGTTGTTACTATGGTTAGTTCTTGAAATAAAAATTTTAATAAAGCTTATATATACCATTTAAATATTAGAAAAAGTTTCAAGTTTGCAGTTTTGTAGGCATGTATATGTGTGTACAGTTGATGCCCAGTATAATCAATTAATACAGAAACAGCTGCTCTTAAAATGCATCAAAAAAGAAGTCTTAAGAAATAGATGTAAGGAAACAAAACTGATTCCAAATATTTATCTGATTTAAAAACTACAAATCCACTATAGCAATCAGAAAGTACATAAAGTCTAACATAAAAATGCTAAGTTTTAGAAAACATTTTTAAAAACATGGATTTTATTTAAGCATAATAAATTCTATCATTTATGATAAAGAATAAATGCGAAAGTTTTAAATAAGATAAAAAACTAATTCATGATTTTTCTGTGGTACTTACTATTTCACAACAAGGGTTTCAAGACTGTAAATACTAACAATTTTAATCCACAAAGTAATTTTCAGAAATACCCTTAATTTCTTGTGCTCAATCTCTTCATTTATCACTACAACTATGGCAAAAAAGCTTGAGTCATTCCTTGCCAAGTGACAAGGACGAAAATAAAATGACTTCTGAAAATTAAGTGAAATTCTGCTAAGAAGAAAATGTTGAAAGTTAAATACATTAATAAAACATTCTTGGCCAATTCAAAACATTCTCTTGGCCAATTCCTGTGGCTAGAAAAATCTTGAAATTTCAAAAGACAAAATTAGTGAATGCTGTTAAGACTAGCCACTATATGCACCACCACATATAGAAACTATTCAAACATGATTCTTTATCTTTGTTTCAACAGATTTACCAAGATATAACTGACGTACAATATACTGTATATTAGTGTACAGTTTTACAAGCTTCACATATGTATACATCCATGCCTGTATCACCACAATCAGTACTTGCACATCACCCCCAAAACCTTCTTCATCCCCCACTCCCCTCCCTGATCATTCCCAAGCAACCATGGTTACTCTGTATTTTCCAGAGACTTATATATATCAAAATTACACTCCATGTACTCATTTTAGTCTGCTTTCCTGCAATCGGCATAATTATTTTGACCTTCACTCGTATGTACAATCCATTCCATTTTATTGCTGAGTGGGATCCCATTGTGTGGGCAGAACACAACTTATTTATATATTAACCTTTTCCAGCTGTTGCAGATATGATTGGATGTGGCTTTGTGTGGACATGTGATCTCATTCCTCTCCAGACAAGAAGCGCAAGGAATTGGTGAGGCTGTATGATATACATTTTTAAGAAACCAAGTTTTCCAAAGGCACTACATATGCCAGTGAATATATGGAAAATCAAGGGATATGGAACAGCCATAGCAGTTTTACACATATGTAATATTTTACATATACAGTGGCAGTGGAATGAGAGTTCTAGGTCCACATTCTAGGTTCACATTCACTCTTGGATATGGGCTATATTTTTTAACTTTAGTTCTTCTAGTGGCATCTCCAGTTAAAATTTTCATTAGTCCTAATTTAGACCAGTAACATCGAGCATCTTTTAATATAGTTATTTTCAATCTGTTTATCTTCTTTGGTGTTGCAATCTGTTGAGATACGTTATTTGTCTTACTACTGAACCGTACAAATTCTGTATATATTTTACATACAATTCCTTTTTGTGACACGTGTTTTGTTATTATATTTTCCCAAACTGTGGTGTGCCTTTTTAATTTGCATGAATTTTTCAAAAACAAACTTTTCATTTTGATGAAGTCCGATTTATTAAAATGTCCTTGTTTAATTTGTGCCAGTTTGTTGCGGTACTTAAAAAATCTTTTAATTCAGAACCCTAAAATTTTCTGTTTTATCCATGAATTTTTATAGTCTCAGTTCTTTGTTTCAGGTCTATAGTTCATTACATTTTTTTTTCATATATAATGTCTTATAGAGGCTGAAAAGTATTTTTCTTCCTATGACACTAGTTCAAAAAATTTTTCTTTGTTTACTGATTTTGGCAACTTTGATTAAAACCAATTGCCCCTATGTGTATGTTATATTTCTGCACACTCTATTCTATTCTAATGATCTATATGACTATCTTTTCACCAATAACATAGTGTCTTGATCACTGTAGCCTGATAATTCCTCTAACACTGCCTTTCTTTTTAAAACTGCTATGGCTATTCCATATCCCTTGATTTTCCACATAAATTTTACAATCTGTCAACTCCTATGAAAATGCCAGCCAAAATTATAATTGTATTGCACTGATTCTATAAGCTGGGGACAAGTGATATCCTAACAATACTTAAATCAGCTGATTCATAAACATACTTCTTTAATTTTTCCCAGTGACGTTCTGTAGTTTTCTGTATCTTTTACCTACTTTCCCTCTAATATTCCATCTTTTATGCTCTTACATAATCATTTTTAAATTCGTATTTCCAACTGTGTGTTGCTGGCACTAAGAAATACAGCCAGTTTTAAGACAGTTTTATTTAGTTAGTTATTTCTGGCTGTGCTGGGGCTGTGCTGCTGCATGGACTTTTCCCTAGTCGTGGTGAGTGGGGCCACTCTCGTTTCAGCGCACAGGCCCCAGGGCATGTAAGCTCAGTGGCGGGGCACTGGGGCTTGTTACTCTGCAGCATGTGGGCTCCTCCCAGATCAGAGCTCAAACCCATGTCTCCTGCACTGGCAGGCGGATTCTTTACCACTGAGCCACCAGGGGAGCCTCTATAACTGAGTTTTGCATGTTCGCCTTGTATCATGTAACACTGCTAAGTGATCTGACCCCTTGATTCTGGCACCTCGTTTTTGGTAGAGTACTTAGGATTTTCTAAACAGACAATCAGTCATACACACCAAAAGACAGCTTTGTTTCTTCCTTTCCAGTTTGCCTGCCTATTTATTTTTCTTGCCATATAGCACTGGTTGGGATCACTAATGTTTAATAAAAAAGTGGTGAGGCCTGACATCCTTGCTTGTCCCTGATCTTTGAAGAAAACGATTATCTTTCACTATTATTAAAAATATTTGCAGGTTTCTCATAAATGAGCTTCATCAAGATAAAAAAGTTTCTATTTCTAGCTACTGAGAGAGATTTTGCCGAAAATAGATACTAGCTTTGTCAAATCCTTTTCTTCACCTACTGAGCTAGTTTTATGGCTTTTCTCGTCTAAACTGTTACTATGATGAATTATATTCATTTCCCAACAATAAACCAATCTTTCAGTCCTGGACAAATCCCACTTGTCAATGAGGTATTGTCCTTTACATGTATTGAATCATTCAACTTGCCCCAATTCTGACAATTTTTCCTTCTATTATTCATAAGGAATATTGATCTGTAGTTTTCTTTTCTTGAAATACATTTTTCTACTTTTGGTTTCAGTGTAATGTTGGTCTCACAGGGTAAATTTGCAAGTTTTATCTCTTCAATTTTCTGAGAAAACTTGTAGAGAATTGGTATTATTTCTTCCTTAAATGTGTGGTGTAACTCACCAATAAATTTTATTGCTACTGATTTTATTTTTGGGTGCCTAAGTTTGAAACTAAAAAATTAATTTCTTTAATATGAAATACACAGCTTATCTTTTCATCAGTTACATTCAATAGCCTTTGGCTTTCAAAATATTTGTCTGTTGTTTATAATATTCCACTATTCTCTTTTACTGTCTGCAGACTATGCAGTGATGTGCGCCTCTTTCGTTTATTTTGGGTTATTTGTTTCTTCTCTTTTTCTTACTCAGTCTACCTAGAAGTTTATCAATTTTACCAACATTCTTAAGCATCTTGTGATTCCATTAATTTTTCTCTATTGTTTCCCTGATGTCTATTTCATAGATTCATGCTCTTATCTTTATTTCCTTTCTTCTGCTTTCAAATTAATCTTTTTTTCTAATTCTCTGACATAATCTATTGCCACTAATTTGAAACTCTATTTTCTAATAAGGCATTTAGTTCATATATTTTCCATTAGCCACTGCTTTTAGCTACATCTATCTAATTTTGATGCATCATTTTAATTTTCATTCAGTTCAGAACACCCTGAAATTTCTATTTTGATTTGTTCATTGTTCCTGGGGTTATTCAGAAGTGTAAATAATTTCCAAATAATGTGGGGATTTTCTAGATATCTTTCTGTTGTTAATTTCTAACTTAATTTCACTGTGGTTGGAAAACATAATCTGTATGCCTTGAATCCTTAAAAATTTGCTAAAACTTGTAAACCCTACTTGTTATACCTTCATGGCCAAAGACAAAAGTTCCAGAATGTTCTCTTTTCATTTTAAAATTCAAAACTCCCTCAGATATTTGCTCAGGGACCGGGATGGGGAATACATGTAAATCCATGGCTAATTCATTTCAATGTATGACAAAAACCACTGCAATGTTGTAAAGTAATTAGCCTCCAACTAATAAAAATAAATGGAAAAAAAAAAAAAAGATATTTGCTCAGTAATATATTTATGGTATTAACCCCAAATCATTTCCTTCTCATATGCTTCTCACTTCTGAGTAGGGAGAATATTGTCTATTTGAAAATATTCACCCTAAATCAAGGCTTTAAATAATATAACCTTATGATTAATAAGGTTATTAATTATATGGTGATTACCTCTAAATATTGTAAGCTTACACCTTTTTGTTTTGTCAACATTTAATATATGCTTTCCCATCAGTTCGTGGCTTTTTAAGCCAAAAGAGATTATGTGTGGGAATGGGGAAGGATGAGATGTTTACAGTGATATCTTTAAATTTCTAATAATCTCCCAATTCTCCTAGACATTAAGATTACAAATAGCACAAATAAATATGGTTTCCAATTATTCTGTCACTCTATGGCTAAAGATTACAGCCCAAAAAGCTGGTTAAAAATCAAATTATATTCCCATCAGCTTGCATTATAAAATGTGTACAGGAAAAATTGTTTTCAAAATGATAGACTAAAAAGAAAACATAATTTAATAATGTATCATTACAGCTAACAAAAGATCACACGAAGTTCAACACTTTACTGAAACCTAAAACTTCACTTCTTTGTCCTTGTCTTTATGGCTAGTTTCTTTATGATAAGATCATTAAGTCTTACAGTCAAGCATATTATCTCCATAATTAATCTTTTTTATTAAGTATGAATTTTTGAATGTGAATCAGTCCTATCTTTTGAAAAGCTAATATGAACAATATAACTAGCAATAGCTGACACCTGGTACTGACTATTGAGAGAGTTAATTCTTAGGTAGGTTAATAAGGAGTCTGGGCTCTCAAGGAGGAGAAAGGGGTCCCAGGCTCTCAAGGAGGAAACAGGGACAAAATGCTTTTTCCTACATTGACTGATTTTAGTCACATGAGATGTTTTTTCTTAAACTCTGAGTTATGACAACAATCTTTAAGACTTTCTTTACACAATAAAACAAATCTTGCTCAAAGGTATGTTTTTCCTTAAGCTCTGTACTAATGATTATTTAACAATGTATCTTGCTCAAGGACATGTTTCTTCTTTTTAACAAGAACCTTCTGACTAATTTGGTATCTTAAGACATATGTTGTGGGAGTGGGTCTGGTAAGACCCTTCTTTGTTAGTTCTAATCTTGTTAATTTAAGATGTTTGTTGTGGGAGTGAGTCTGGTAAAAGTATATAAGGCCTGGATAAGACTAACAAGTGGGGCACCTCTGTCCCCCTTCTGATGTCTAGGTCAGAAGCATTCTCTGTCCTTTTTCACTGTAATAAAACTTCTGCCATACAAAAGCTCTGAGTGATCAAGCTTAGTCCCTGGTCCCAAAGCTAAATCTTCTTCAGGACAACTTTAACTGTAAGCTATCACTATGTACCAGGTACTTCTAAGCCCTTTATCCGATTTTTTTTTTTTTTTTGGTTATTGTTTTGTTATCTCATTTAATTCTCACAGAAGCTCTATAAAACAACTGCTGTCCTTATTTTCAGATTAGAAACTAGCAGCAATTAGATCAAGTAACCAGCTCTGGGGCCAGAACCCAGGCAATGTGGCTCTGCCCTCTGTGCTCTCTGTCATGTTACATTGCCCAACAATATTACAAACTGTAGACTCACACTGCAAAAACAGGGCAAAACTAACCTTTTAAAGAATTCATCTACAGAAATAAATGAAAAATGTTTGATTGCCGCACAATTTTTGAGGAGGAAAGACCCTGAATTGTAAATGGCAGCCTATTACTCTGACATTCTAAAAAGAAGAAAAAAGCAATTACTAAAGTGAAACCAAAAAAACAGCCTATTACTGACACACATGTGTAGAAAAATTCATATTTACAATATACTGACCAAGAATAGTTAAGTTAACTGTTGTAGTTGAGACTAACAGCTTGACATTCAGATTTGATTTCACAAATATCCCAAAAGCAAACTTTCCCCCATGGATCAGTGGGTAAGAATCCACCTTTAATGCGAGAGACACAGGAGATGTGGGTTCCATCCCTGGGTTGGGAAGATCCTTTAGAATAGGACATGGCAACCGACTCCTGGAGAATTCTGTGGACAGAGGAGCCTGGCAGGCTGCAGCCCATGGGGTTGCAAATGGTCAGGCACGACTAGGCACATGGCATGGCACCAGAAGCAAACACAGAAGAATATGCTCAACTTAAAAGTCTTTCATAATTTTACCTTTTGGTTTCGGGGTAAATCTTGAACATTTGATGGAGGCTTGTAATTCAGAACTAATCTTCTGAATTCCAAAAGATTGAATAATGACTGAAAAAGAACAACAATTTAAGATAACCAAAGGGAAAATTCTATTAACAGAACTATAAAAATATGACTAGTCTGAGAGATTTACTTTATATACAGAATATTTCCCACTAGCACAAGAAGGCCTATTTTCTCCCTAAGAAAAAGTCACACTTCTTTTATTTAGACATATGCTTGATCATTAACAATATTTATTGTACTGCAAAGCAGAAAATTATACTTGGACAACTCAAAAAATATAATATGTATTATTAAAAGTTTTCTATGTGCCTAAGCAGTTTCCCCAAAATTAAATGTATACAAATGCAAACTCAAGAACTTTTTCAACATATTAAGTACAACATGAGTTTTCTAGAGGTATCAATTCTACAAAAATACAGTACAAATAAATCTATAGGCCAGATGCCAGGTTATAGAGACTCAAAGAAATTATGTATTATCACTAATGGTCAAGGAGACACAGTTTAGGAAGGAAACAATATTTAATTAAAACAACAGCAATGTTACACAAAAATACAGTAATACTGATCACATAGAGTATAATGAAAGCATATGGAAAGATGCTCATGGAAAAGTTTCCTGGAGCTACCCTTTTAAACTATAGCTTGCAATCCATTAATGTCAAGATAAACATTAACTTTAAAAAATGAAATAAAATGTAATGGAAAATATTAGAACATGTCATAAAGAGTAAATTTACCAGAGTATTATTTATAAAATTTTCATTGGTGAAATTGTCATACATATACGTAAAGTGTTTCACAATGTAAAATGTATTCCTTTCTGAGTTGTAGTTTATGAAGTTTGAAAATCATTGCACAAGAGGCGATGATGCATTAAAATCTTAGTAAAAGATGGGCTAGCCAACTTGCTAGGAAATAAACATAGCATCATAAGCCAATAAGGAAACAAAAATTTGTTTAGTATTGGATGTTGGGAAAACTGGTCCACTATAAATAGAGTCAGATACAGATGTACATAGATGCAAATCAAAGACCTATATATAAAACGTAAAACCATAAAACTGATAATTGTGACCTGAAGTATTTCTTTAGTAAACAATGTGAACATATTCATTTATGCATTCTTTTAACAAATATTTATGGAGCACCCACAACATGCCAGACACAAGGAAGACAGGCAGCAGAGAGTAAAACACACCAAGTCGTTTCCGCCTTTCATACCATCTTGTGATTGCAATTTAAAACAATGAGAGTGGATGTTATAAACTAGAAAGAACGTGAATACAATAGACCAAAATCAGAAACTTAAGAAGCATTTAAAAGCCAAAGGAAAAAGAGGTATAAAACAAAATATGAATAGTAACAGAAGTGGCGAGTCTGAGGGCACAGAAAAAAAAGGAAAAAGCTTTCAAACATAGTTGTGCATCAGAGTAACAGCAGAGCTTTAAAAAATGTTTATGTCTGGAATTTCTCAACAAAGATATAAAGTACCAGAGATTCTGAAGTACAAGAATCAATCACTGGCAAATTTCATGAAGGAGAAGATTAGTAAAGGTTGGAGGTTGCCCCATCCAAAGAAGGTAAGAGCAGGAAAATATTCTTTATATTTAGCAGTTGGGAACTCGCCTTTCCAATAAGATGGTAAGATAGCACCAATGAGTCCTAAAGAAATGGGATAAAAGTAGAGGTCAAAGTATGGACTGTTCTTACAAGGGATTTATATACGAAAAAGAATGACAAATCTAGAGAAGCTGAATCCACTTCTGTCCTCTGAGCTCCTACTGGAAAATATTTTTTCTTCTTTTTGAACACCCTTTAGATTTCCCCTGGCGTGGGTCTTTACTAGTTATAGAATTTGAGATGGCCAGTTATCTTTTCCCAGCACGTTAAATATAGCATTTCTGCTGAGAAGCCAACTGTCAGTCTTATTTTTGCTCATTTATTGAAGCAATATATCTTCTTCCTACTGGCTACTTTTAGGGTTTTCTCAGTTTTGAGTTCTTTCTATTTTACTATGATGTGCTTTTGTGCAGTATTCTTTACGTTCATACTACTTGGTTCCTATTGCTTCCCGAATCTGTGGCTTGATTTCTTTCATCAAGTTCAGAATATTCTTCGTCATCTCTTCTAATAGTGTTTTTATCCTATTTCCTTTTTAGTTTCCCTCTGGAACCACAAATAAACTGTGTTAGTACAATTTACTCCATGTCCAAAATATCTCTTCTATGCTCTCATCTGTATTTCATGGCTTGAGTGTGAAAATGTTCCTCAGACAAACTGTCCAGTTGACAATTCTCTGGTCACGCTGTGTATCCTTCAGTTGTGTCTAATATACTGCAAAATTCATCCACTGATATCCTAATTTAATTTATGATATTTTTCAGCTCTAAAATTTCTTTAATAGTTTTTAGTTTTCTACCAAAAATTCTCAGTTATGCTTCTAATTCCTTAAGCATATTAGTAGTTACATAACAAACCATTCAATTTTAACTTTTACCTACATAGTTAGATTTCTAATTATCCATTATTTTCTCTTAATTTGGGGACATGTCTTATTTTCTGATATGACCAATTATGAATAACTGAGAGCTAGACATTGTATGTAAAAAACTGAAGAAAGTTCAAAGTTCAAGATGGTATTATCTTCCACCAAAATTTACATTTCCTTCTGGCAGGCCCCAAGACTAAAGCATTTGCAATCCTATATTACCTTGATCCAATCAATTATGAGATGATCTTAAGCTGGGATTCACAAGTTATAAAGCCTGGCCTCTACTCAATTCTCAGGTGATCCTAGAGTCTAGCCCTTTAGAACTCAACTGAAAATCTTAGGTGTTTCCAAGACTTTCAATCTTGTGTGAAACTTTGCTTAGTTTCCAGCCAATCAGCAGCCACTTCTAAAACTGCCTCAAAGATCAGTTCAGTTCAGTTGCTCAGTCACGCCAGACTCTTTCAGACCCCATGGACTGCAGCACCCCAGGCTTTCCTGTCCATCACCAACTCCCAGAGTTTACTCAAACTCATGTTCACTGAGTCGTTGTTGCCATCCAACCATCTCATCCTCTGTCATCCCCTTCTCCTCTGGCCCTCAATCCTTCCCATCATCAGGGTCTTTTCCAATGAGTCAGCTCTCCGCATCAGGTGGTCAAAGTACTGGAATTTCAGCTTTAGCATCAGTCCTTCCAATGTATTCAGGACTCATTTCCTTTAGGATGGACTGGTTGGATCTCCTTGCAGTCCAAGGGACTCTCAAGAGTCTTTCTTCTCTAACACCATAGTTCAAAAGCATCAATTCTTTGGCGCTCAGCTTTCTTTATAGTCCAACTCTCACATCCACACATGATTACTGGAAAACCCATAGCTTTGACTAGACAGACCTTTGTTGGCAAAGTATGTTTCTGCTTTTTAATATGCTCTCTACGTTGCTCACAGTTTTTCTTCCAAGGAGTAAGCGTCTTTTAATTTCATGTCTGCAGTCACCATCTACAGTGATCTTGGAGCCCCCCAAAATAAAGCCTTTCACTGTTTCCATTGTTTCCCCATCTATTTGCCATGAAGTGATGGGACCAGATGCCATGATCTTAGTTTTCTGAATGTCGAGCTTTAAGCCAACTTTTTCACTGTTCTCTTTCACTTTCATCAAGAGGCTCTTTAGTTCTTCTTTGCTTTCTGCCATAAGTATGGTGTCATCTGCATACCTGAGGTTACTGATATTTCTCCCAGCAACCTTGATTCCAGCTTGTGCTTCACCCAGCCCAGCGTTTCTCATGATGTACTCTGCATATAAGTTAAATAAGCAGGGTGACAATATATAGCCTTGATGTACTCCTTCTTCGATTTGGAACCAGTCTATTATTCCATGTCCAGTTCTAATTGTTGCTTCTTGACGTGCATACAGATTGGTCAGGTGGTCTGGTATTCCCATCTCTAAGAATTTTCCACAGTTTGTTGTGATCCACACAGTCAAAGCCTTTGGTGTAGTCAATAAAGCAGAAGTAGATGTTTTCTCAAAGATAAAACAGCCCAAAAAATGAAGCTTACTGTCTGAAAATCCTGTTCTCTCAAAGTGTAGCCTCAAAATTCCTCAATGCTTTAGGGCTTACGATGCCTTCAAAACACTGGTTTCATTTTTGTTTTTAGACTCCAGCAATATATGACCAAGTGGATGGTTGAAAAGAACTTAATATGCTATTACCCAAAGCAGAATTGATGACCATAGATTATCACAACAAATCACAGGAACTCATTTTAAGCCCCAATCTATACTCTAGATCGGGCATAGTAGTAGTATTGGTCAACATATTTCTTCAAAAGGGGTGGGAAAGTGTAATCGCCACTACTGTCTAAATTACATTTGTGAGGCATACACATTGAAAACAAGTATCCTTTTATTGAGCTCAAAGCCAGTATATGAATTCTGAAATCTGTTAAGAATTTGACTAAACTCGTGGAGGGTGAGAGTTTAAATACATAATTTATGGAAAACAAAAAAAGTGATGACAAGAGAGCAGAAGGAGATAGAAACTCTCTATGATGAAAGATACTAAGGAAAACCAACAAAAATTCTCCTTGGTGGATTATTAATATTTAAAAATGAAATAGTAACAGATAAGTTTCAAAGTGTGAGAAAAAGAGTGGCCTGATTAAAAGATGAAAGTCTGTATACAGAGCAATTAAATCCCTTTGGCCTTCCCAGACGGAGAGGTATCAGACAACTACTCTCTCCTTCTGTGGAATATAGGAAAATTTAGACTTGGGATATAACTGAACTGAACTGACTCGGGTTTATAAACCTTATCATCCAACCCACAACTCTTCTGAGGACGAAAAAGGGCTCTACAATGAATTAATAAGTGCTGACGCATCTACAATAGGAGTAAACTGGGACTGTACCAGGCAACCCAAGAAGCAGAGGCACCTTACTCCTGAGCGTCTCAGAGGATTCCAAATGGGCATGGTGCTAAGGGCCATGAGAACTCATGAATTACTTGAACTTAACACCCCAAACTAGAGAGAGGAACAGAGTAGAAAAAGCAGCCCCAAAGAGTACCATCTGCATAAAAGTTGCTTTTGAACAGGATGAAAATACTCCTGACTAGTTAAGTGGTTGATATCCAATCTAAAGACAGTAAGGCTAATATTGTCAGCATCCAAAAGTTATGTAAGCCACTCTCTGCATAATTTCTTTTTGCTAACAATCCCTTCCTGATATTCTGTTCCTCTTTTCTTCCAAAATACTTAGGTCTCAGTACCTAAAGGACCAAGTATAACAAAGCTGTACCTTCTGTAGCTTACCCACCGTTACCTACTCTGAAGTTAGAGGTTTGTAATTCTTATAAACTATAATCGTTAGAAATACTTTTAGAGAAGAGAATTCCCAGTTGTTTCACACTAGTCTTGCCAACTAAGTAAATTCCATCCCTGAGAAAATTTTTGTAACTGAAACTTTATAGTGCATTTATGTCACAATTTGGACAAGTTCCAACTTGCTTTGAAAAAAAATCAAAACCTCCCAACACTAATACAGATTTCCTACCCAAAGTTCCTTTCATAAGTGAAAAGTTCAATTAATTATGATAAACATATTTGAGATGTCTGTTGAATTAAGTAAATGTCAAGGAATGAAAAAATAAAATATTTCAATTACTAGAAGTGAAAATTAAAAGCTACTTAAAATGGTTTAAGAGACTTTAAAGTTACATTCAAAAACAAAACAAAGATCACTAGACAAATTTTTTTTTCCCATCCACAATTTCCTAAACTGAAGCTTACTGTTTTCCTACATTCCCAAAAGACAGTATCCTATTACTTCATTAGAAGCCAAAATTTTCAAAGTTATGTTATTTCTTCTAGATGTTTAAAGCACCAATTCTAACTAACAAATACTGATTCTCTGCAAGCACTTTCTTACTTCCTACAGTTTTCTAAGAGAAGCTGCTAATCAATGAGCCTCATTTACTGGCCGTAATAGTGTAAAGGCAGCATCCAAATACAGGCAGCAAAACATACTCATAAGCACTCAGATCACAGCCTTAAAATTGTGTTTCACATTTTAAAGTGACAACTAAATTATGAAATTTAAACAATGAAATGCAAAAGAATTTACTAGCAGTGCAAGTATTAGGATAGCAAATAAAATTTGAGCTATTGCTAGCATGTAAGTGGATAATTAATGCATACTCAAGACCAAAAACAAAAGTATTATTACAAATTCATGTTAATTCCAAGTATTCCTTAATATTTTAATAGCCTGGAAAACAAACAACATATCGTGTTATTAAATGGTGTGTACCATAGTTGAATAAAAGTGAGGCACGAAACCAGAAAACCAAATTGTATAATACTATTTGCTAGAAGCAAAAAGACAGAAAAGAGCTGGATATTATAACACTGAAGTAGAAAAAAAAATTAATCACCTAGAGAACACAATTAATTACCTTTAGAATAGAAAAATTTAATAACCTGTTAGTTGCTTTAATATCATATGAAAGTTAATACTGTATTCAGGTTGGAACGGACAAAATGAAGAGATATTTTGGATGTAAAATAATGTAAATTAGAAAACATCTACTGATTTAAAAAGACTCATCAGAAACACTAAATGAGCTACCGTTCAGCTATATTAGGAAATTAAGCACAAATATTAATTTTCCTAAAGAGTAATTAAAACTAAGAGCATGTTATTATTCATAGGTTATTTAACTTAAGGAGATTATTTAGTTTAAGGTTTCACAATTTGAAAGATAACATTACCAATGTCTGAGAATACTAAAGAATTATGACAACAGTCATATCATGTAAGAGTTAAAAAACTAGTCCAAATTGAAAAGATGGTTATCTATGCATACAAATATTTTTCACTTTAGAATAAGAAGCTAAATAAAAAATTCCAAGTTAGAAAGAAAATGTTATTCTTAATTTATTTTTATTCTTTCATTCTCACATATGTATTAAGAATTACTTGTCAATCTATTTCCTCCTGAAATAAAATGTCCTCTTTTATAAAAAAAAGTACTTAAATGACTATAATTACTGAATGACATTTTCTATTATAGATAAATCTGATCTGACTCACACACACACACACACACAAAAACAGTCTTGGCTTCCTATCTTGGTTATGAAGTGAAGTGTTAGTCACTCAGTTAGGTCCGACTCTTTGTGACATCATGGACTGTAACCCACCAGGCTCCTCTATTCGAGGAATTTTCCAGGCAAGAATACTCGAGTGGGTAGCCATTCCCTTCTTCAGGGGATCTTCCCAACCCAGGGATCAAACCTAGGTGTTCTGCACTGCAGGCAGATTTTTTTGTTTGTTTTTTTTGTTTTTACCATCTGAGCCACCAGGGAAGCCCCATCTTGGCTATGTTCTTTCCTAAATTTGCAGGGATTTATATACAAAAATGTTTTCTTTTCACTCTGACAATTCCCAACAACAGAGAAGGAGGAGAAATTAATTCTGAATAAGGCATTGGCAGTGTTTTATCATGAAAAGTCCATACTGGGAATGAAGAACAAAGTAGAGTGGGGAATACTGCAATCGCCAAACTAGGTTAGTAGAAAGGCATATTAAAACCTTGTTTGCAGTGTGTGTGTGTGTGTGTGTGTGGAATACTGCAATCGCCAAACTAGGTTAGTAGAAAGGCATATTAAAACCTTGTTTGCAGTTAGTAGAAAGGCATATTAAAACCTTGTTTGCAGTGTGTGTGTGTGTGTGTGTGTCTGTGTGTCTGTATATATATATAACTAAAAAGAAACACAACTCCAACCCACTTTTCACTGCTGCCAGGCCCACCAGATAAGACCTGCATAAAGATCCTTACCTGAATAACAGCACTAAACCAGCAAGTATTGCCAACATTCTTTAGTCCAACAGGAGCTTTGTCCTGCCTTTTTCTATCGTAAGGGTTTCGAGAATCTCTCCAAACTTCAGTTGGTGTCCTCTTCAAACATGCTTTATTTTCTGCTATGCTGGCCTCAAGAACTCTTAAACGATGGGTAGAAAATAATGGTGAAAAAATACAGCATTAATTTAGCACTGTATGGTAAAAAAGAGCATACTATAAACTAAGGATTTTGATAAATTAAGGCCTAGACAATGCATTTGGAAAAGGAATACTTAACATTAAATTTGCTCAAGTGGATTCTAGTTTTCTAGAACATAGCATAGTTCTAGTTTTCAAGAACAAAGTAGTAGCAATGCTAATAGATCAAAACATAGGCAGCAGTTTTTCCTCAGAAAACAGATTTTAATCGCAAAAAGATAGCATTACATAATAGGAAATAGATATATTAAGTTATATTTCAACAAATTAGAGGCTTAATATCAGGAATATAGTACCTAGATAAGTGTTCTGAAAAGTCATTGTATTAAAGTACATATTTACAATATACATAATGATTAGCTTTTATAAGAATTTCTTTGAATCATAAGAAAATTAAAAATGGAAAAACACTGCACTTTCATCCCTCTGATCATTAATTCCCTTTTCTATTTAAAAAAAAAAGTTAAGGTAAATTCTAGGGTTCCTTTCAGTTCTACAGATCCATACTCTACAACAGCTACTGAAAAATAAGGGGAGAGAATATTTATGTGTTCACTTCATTTCCAATAGTTTGCCTAGAGAAAAATCTACTGTAATAAACACCTACATATCAGAATAATAAAAGATAAACCTCTTCAAAATAAGTACATCTACAGAATATCTAAAACATATCTAAACATGACTAACAGTAATGCTACTCTGCTGAATGGTGTTTATCTTGCTCTTAAGCAAGAAAATGCTGAAAAACCCTAATCCCTACATATAAACTAACATGCATTTGCCTACTCAAGACATGTGTTACTTACTATTCCAAATTATCATGAATAACAGCCAAATATCTTAACTCATTTTATGTTCACTACAAAAATCTCAGTTAGTATGAGTTTTTTCAACTTTTTGCCTTCTTGAAAAAAAAAATCTCATTCATGCTACACTATTTTTCTCCTAAAGATTTTGCTCTATTAGATCAATATCAAACTAATACAGCGATCTTCCTTAATTATGGAGAAGCAGAATATTTTTCATCTCTAACTGTAATATGACCTTATATACAGTGCATTAGATTCCAAATCAGTATTACTTAAAATAACTTATATGAATATAGGATAGAGTTTTTCTTTGGGAATCAATTAAATCACATACTGGGTGGGGGGGGGAGCAGAAAACATGATACATTAAAATGTAAAGGTCAAAGTAAACTCACATATTTAAAAATAAACAGTTTACACTTTTAAGAGTGATCTAACATTAGCAGCAGTACTCTCTGCCCAACTATCAACTCTCACAAGGAATCTCAGCCCCTAGAGGCTTTTTCTCTTAAATTATTTAACAATAAGCAGTGCTAGAACTCCTTGGAAGGTATTTAGTTAGATGATTCCGGGACTTGAGAATATCAATGTTTATCTGGAACATCCCACTCTAATCAAAAACGAGTTCTCAAGAACATAAAAGGGAAGTAAGTCAAAGAGCCAACTTGAGAGACTTTCTACTGTTCCTTGCACAATTTAGCAAGACACAAGAAAAATCAACTGTACAAATTAAATTTGTACAAGGTGACCACTTCGAAAGAGAGAATACATAGTATACAAAAGGTAAATATAACACCAAAGTCTGTTTTATATAAAAAAGGTATATTTAATCATTTATTGACTTTCATAAGTGGGAGCAATTTTCATTTGAAAAGTCTGTTTCTTTTGTTACATATGTATATCTAGAAGTATAAATTAATGAATCTTATTTCTACACTGGTAATCAGAAATGAGCAAACTAAAACAAGCAATGGGTTCTGGGAAAAGTAGCAAATATATTATAAACAGGAAAGAATTAGTGCCAATAGTCATTTATTAGTTGGTGCAAAAGTAACTGCAGTTTCATATCCTGAATTTTAAATCATTATAACAAGGTTCAAACATACCTATGCTAAATCAAAATAGGAACCATTACAATTAACACATTTTTTCCCAATGAGAAATGTCTGTTTATTCCTACAGCATAAAAATCTGTGTTTTGGGATTCACCAAACTATTGGAAAGCATTTTCTACCTACTGCTGGTTGTAGAAATGTTTTCCCTGCAAAAAGATGTCAAGATGCTTGAAGAAGTGGTAGTTGGTTGGCGAGAGGTCAGACGAATATGATGAGGCAAAATTTCATGGCCCAGTTTGTTCAACTTCCGAAGTTATGTGACATATGGTCAGGCATTGCTGTGGAGAAGAATTGGGTCTTTTCTGTTGACAATGCCAGCTACAGCTGTTACAGATTTCAGTGCATCTCATCAATTTGCTGAGCATACTTCTCAGATGTAATGGTTTCCCTGGATTCAGAAAGCTATACTGATCAGAGGGCAGCAGATCACCAAACAGTAGCCATGACTCTTGGTACAAGTTTGGCTTTGGAAAGTGATTTGGAGCTTCTTCCCAGTCCAACCACCGACTGGCCATGGGCACGCTGTCATCTAAAACCCGCTTTTCATCACATGTCACAGTCTGATTGAGAAACGGCTCACTGTTGTTGCATAGAATAAGAGGAGACAACATTTCAAAATGGCAATTTATTTGTTCATGAGGCGCCCACTTATCAAACTTTTTCACCTTTCCAATTTGCTTCAAATGCCACATAACCTCAAAATTGTCAACACTGAGTTCTTGGGCAACTTCTCTGTGTAGTTTTAAGAGGATTAGCTTCGATGATGGCTCTCAATTGGTCATTGTCAACTTCTGATGATCAGCAACTGAGCTCCTCATCTTCAGGGCTCTAGTCTCAAAAGTTTTGCAAAACTTCTTGAACCACCACTGAACTGTAGGTTTCTTTAGCAGTTCCTGGGCTCTATGCATTGCTCATATTGAGTTGTCTTTGCTGCTTTACTACCCATTTCGAACTCAAACAAGAAAATTGCTCGAATTTGTTTTTTTTCCCCTAACCTCATTTTCATATATAAAATAAACAGCAAGTAATAAATCATTAGCAAAAAAAAAAGAAATGTGCATTTTAATGACATATAACTACATTTAAGAATTTATTCCAATATCAAACAGCAAAGTTCAACAATGCAAAACCACAATTACTTTTGCACCAACCTAATATAAAAGGCAGAAGAGGCATCCAGCAACTGACTAGCACTTGTGGGCAGGTATAATAACCATTAAAAAAAAATTCTATAGTATATTCCAAAAGCATAAACTAGTCGAAAGTCAAGGAGAACTACACTCATTCTCCTAGGTGGATGATCCTCTACCACTATATGCTTTTAAACTTCTAGTTGTAATAAAATACTAACTTAAAACTCTAGTTATAATAAAATGAAATAGAAATAACCCTTTTTAATGCCAACACATCAGATCACTTGTATCATAATGACCAGGCAACAGGTTACGTAGACATTAGCTATGGAAAACTTCAGAAGAGTTGATTTCTACAAAATACACCCAATCTACAAAAATTAAAATGTATACGTAGTCACATGAAGTTAGTAACAAAATGAGACTCGGCCTCAAGACAACACTGAGTAAAACTAGGTCTCCTGCTCCCCATACCTGTCAACGACCCATTCCAAATCTACAATTCAGACTGCTCTGAGGTAACAATATTCTTCTAATTCCAGATCTAGTTAAGATTACTAAAAACTAGAAGGTATTATTTTTAAATGTTTCAATACAATTAATTCAGTCACCCTCTCTTCAGTCCCCTCCCACCAAGAAAATACATCTCTTGATTTTTATGGTGGGAAATGTATGGCCTCCAATGTATTTTCTAGGACCGAGCAGCTTACCTGAACTTTTTGTTACAAGCTAGGAGGGAAAGAAAGTCAAGAATATAAACTGAAGATACCATCTCCCCAGCATTCCCATGGATCTTTTTTTCTACAGAGGAAAAATTGGACACAAACTGTAATAACTGAATAGAGCTCAAGATATACATGTTCCCTGCTTCTCAAAGTGAACTAAGATATAAAGATTTTCAAGTATATGTGTATGTGTGAAAGTGAAAGTCGCTAAGTCGTGTCCGACTCTTTGTGACCCCAGGGCCTACACAGGCCATGGAATTCTCCAGGCCAGAATACTGGATTGGGTAATCTTTCCCTTCTCTATGGGATCTTCCCTACCCAGGGATCAAACCCAAGTATCCAGCATTGCAGGCGGATTCTTTACCAGCTGAGCCACAAGGAAAGCCCTTATATGCATGTGTACACATAATTAAATGTATATTATATATATAACTGAATTCTGTCATATGGTAGAGATCATCATACATTATAACAAAAATACGAGTTTTAAAGATATAGACTTATAATTCTCCGTATGTGTGTATTAAGTTGTTCAGTCAAGTCCCAACTCTTTGCAACCCTATGGACTGTAGACCACCAGGCTCCTCTGTCCCTGGGATTCCCCAGGCAAGAATACTGGAGTGGGTTGTCATTTCCTCTTCAAGGGAAGTAGACTATTGAGAGTCCCTTGGATAGCAAGGAGATCAAACCAGTCAATCCTAAAGGAAATCAATTCTGAATAGTCACTGGAAGGACTGATGCTGAAGCTGAAACTCCAATACTTTGGCCACCTGATGCGAAAAGCCAACTCAGTGGAGAAGACCCTGATGCTGGGAAAGACTGAAGGTAAGAGGAGAAAGGGAAGGCAGAGGATGAGATGGTTGCATGGCTTCACCAACACAATGAACATGAGTTTGAGCAGACTCTGGGAGATGGTGAAGGACAAGGAAGCCTGGTGTGCTGCAGTCCACTGGGTCACAAAGAGTCAGACATGACTGAGCGACTGAAGAAAAAGCACCACCACCTCCAGAGGATCTTCCAGACCCAAGGGTCGAATCCATGTCTCTTGTGTCTCCAGCATTAGCAGGTGGGTTCTTTACCATCAGTGCTACCTGGGAAGCCCTACAATATTCCTTAACCATGTGATAATATGGTAGAAATATGGTACCTAAAAATGGTG